AAAATTTCGTTTAGGACCTTTTTCAACAACATAAATTTTGTCACTTTTTCGTCGATCTTTCTATATGGCCAAACCATCAAAGCACATCTTTCTCAATCTGTGACCAGTACATCATCTTGCAAAAAAAAACTTTTTTTATTAATAAAAGTTAAAATAAGTTTACCCTCTTGAATGAACTCAGGAATACCACATTCTCAACGTCGTCTAAATAGTTACAATAGAAAAATCTACTGCTTTTTTACAAAATTATAATATTGTAAGCGTCCCCCTTTTTTTAAATCTAAGAAATAGTCCAAGCATGTAATAGTTTAAATTCCCATGTAGCTTTATAAAATTTTACTTTTGTTATTATTATTGTTTTTAGTATTCTTTGAAAAAATCACACAAAAAACACAACCCTCAAGTAGTCTTGTAAAATTTTAGTTATGTTATCTTATTATTATTAACATTCTTTGAAAAAAAAAATCGACAAAATACTTAATATTTCCCTAAGTTTTAATAATCACTTACAGGCAGCTCCAGTACTAAAACGATTGGGATAATTTGTTTCGTGTTCAACTTACTAGAAGTTGCTCCAGTTGGTTCATTATTCGGAAAACTATTAAACTATGGCTCGGTGAAATACCGCTGAAGATAATTAATATACTTACTTAATTGGAAACAACGTGAATTTATTTTACTCAGAAATTGATGGTAAGTGGATGCTGTAGCCCATGAACATTTACATTTATCTTCGATTAAGATTAAAATGTTGATGCGTTGTCACCCTTGAGGACTACGATGGAGTGCCCTATTTCCAGTAAAAAAATTAACCGGTTCTCTACACTCACCATACGAATCGCAGCAGTATTAAGCTGCTATTTTACGATGGTAATATGTGACAGCGTGGTCCTTCCCCGGTCGAAATGACCCATTCGTGCTATAACCATAATATAGCTGCAACGTGACTCCACCATTTAAAGAAACTACACTTATTATCATGTGAAATGTGAGCTCAATTTTTAATTCAATGATAACATAACCAAATTTGTTCTTGACAAATGAGCATGCGCCTCTCCTTATGGTAAGATTCAACCGCCGTCCGGGAACAACTATAACACCAGGGCAATTGCAGGTGCGTAACCATTGGGCAGGGCATTTAAAATGTATTAATCTCATTTCTTGAAAGTCCCCGAGTCGTATCGTATAATTTTACCATTTTCTAATGCTAAGCAGCAGTGTTTCGGTTTGAAGGGTATACAGAGCTCGTATAATAACAGACTGTGAAGCATCTCATCAGATGGATAAATAGATAACTCTTTATCGTACACCAAATTGATAAATAAACCAAAGAAGAAAAGAAAAATGGTGTCACAATAGGCAGTGTATACCTAAATACTATTTCTTCTACTGAGCAGAAAGTTATGTAGTTTGATGACCCAGAAACAATATATTTATAAATATATCTAAAAATAAATAACAAATAAATACACGAAAACAGTACACATATATAGATCGCACGAACTCCAAGATTATCGTACTCGTATGTCATAATATTCCAATATAATAAAAGTAATTAATAAAACGCATAATTCAGTAACTTATTCGTATATTTTTTGAAAATACTTGATACAATGTACAGTTTTGGACTTAAATTTAGGAAACTTAAAATAAAAAGTTATAGTTGAAACAATACTGAACGGAATTTTGTTACAGTTTAGAAATTTCAAAATTATGAGTATATTCGATAAAAATTTAATTTTATATTTATTATTTTTATCTTAAAACATAATACGGAAAAACTGAAGCATACATGCAAAATTTGTAATAACTACGTTTTACATACATGTAACAAATGTGGTGTGAGTAAGGTAAATAATGACAATATATAATATTACATAGCTGTGACTGAACTCTTTTAAAACCCTGACGCAAATAGAAGAGTGTTTTGTGTTTGACATGTGTATCTGTGTATTATATGTGTAGCTCCCAAACGGAAGTACCGATATAGGTTTAGTTTTTTTTTTGTTTGAAAGGTGATATAGGGTTTTAGTGTTCTTAGCTACGATTCAAGAAAATCTTTTCAGTTTTCGTTTGGAGATCATCAGCACTTTTTGTTCCGGGATTAATTTTATAAAAAGATCATATTATAATTTAATTTTATACCATATCTTGTCAGCAGAACTAACTCATGTTCAAGAAGCATAGAATGAAATTGGTGACATTATGTTATACAGACAGAGTATTGAGGAAACTTGATTTTAAATTAAAAAAAATGTTTCAGTCTAGAATTTTTTATCGAATCTCTGAACCTGCTCACAATATATAGATAGGTACAGCTTTAAGTATTAGTTATCAGTATGTTTTATAAACCTAAGTTATTAATAAATAACATAGACAATCTGTTGTTTTAGGTCAACAGATATAAAATTAATCTCTCATTGACAAGCTGATCGAATTTAATGAAGATTTTATCTTGATTCTAATAACGCAGGATAAGTACAGGCCAGTCTCACCATATAAAAATTTTGAGCTAGTCCTAAATTGCCATACCAGTTTGTCTCTATCGCTTTTTTACAGAAGTTTTCAATAAAAACTTATAATTTACAGATGTAGGTAGTGAAAGGTAAACAGGTTCCCACGCTTTGAGGTGCATTGGAAAACTTACACAGAAAACAAATAGCAGTCATACACAAATACTTCCCTACACTTGTGGATTTGTAAATTTGTGCATAATATGTAAGTGACCGGTATTATGACAATAGCATAGTGATTTTCGTATTAAAATTGTGGCTGTTCTCAAGTTACTCATAAAGGTTGCACGATTGATAAGAGTTTGTTAGAAAAAACCTTGAAACTGCTTTTTAATGCTATATTACTGACAAATAAAAATACAAATCATTTACATACATAATAACGATATTGATGGTTTTAAAATAGTATTTGTTTAAAAAGGAACAGGAAAATTCTAAATATAAAAAGAAATTAGAAAATTAATTCTTTGTGACAGAATATTTATATTTCACGATTTAATGTCGTATTTAAAAAATAGTTACATAGGTAATACGTTTTTATTTCTAAAATAAGCATAGATCTAAATTCATTCTTGTATTCATAATAATAGAGTGTGTAACAATTTCATGTAAATGCGTAACTCTTACATCGCATAAAATTAATAATATTTAAATGCTTTGGGATAATAATTTTAAAATTACTTTAGTAAATATATACACTGTAAGTTTTTCTAACAATTGACAACAAATTAACTAGTATCGTGTTTACTTACATTTGCTTTTTTTGTATTATAGGTTTAGTAGAAAATTGGTAAGCGATTGACTTCTAAATAGATAAAGATTTAATATTTCCATTCTATGAACGGATTTTATATATTTTTATTAGATTTTTATATACAGTTCTTTATAAGCGATTATATTGCTCTTAACGTGTTTTTATAATTTTATTATATGCGATATAATAGACTGTTACATTTAATGCCCTATCTTTTGACTATCTTTGCCTCATGCTTGATGAAGCATAATTTAAGAAGAAGGGTGACAATTAAACATTTCTTCTAAATTTCCGGTATCCAAACGCCATCTCGTGGCAGTTTCTCTACATTATTTATCATCTATAAATACAACAGTGTTAACTAAATAGTTGTGCATTTTTTTAAAGATTTTACATTATATGTTAAGCGTAGCATACGGTGCGTCGTATATTTCACTTATAAATACTATGTTATTTTGAATATATTTTACAAACCAATTAACTAAATAACTGTTTTCACTAACAATTATCAAACCGTGGACCGAATTCCGTAATAATTTACATTACTCAAATCTGGAATTCTTCACCTCTTTTAACCCGGCGTCATTGAGGTTGGGTTGAAACCTTTCATACTCGCTACCTTGCCATTGTTTTCAGTTGGTGGGGTTAATTTATTCTTCTAAGCGTCGTTAACAAGGAATTAGATAGACGATGACCACGCTCTATGCTATCTGCACGAAGCTAAAAAAAGATTAATATGACCCACTCCGTATCCAATGTACTCATACGTAGTTACTAAGTATAGTACGTAATATTCTAAACCATTACACAAGAAAGTAACATCTCAAAAAATACTTATTAACTTAAAAAATATTGCCTATACCTATCCTACTCCAGTAACATTTTTTAATCTGCACCCACACGCCCGTGTAGTAATTTACAACTCCTATGACGCCGGATTGAAATTCTTTTGATTTGATTTTTAGAACTAAAGCTAAATTTTTGTTCGCACATCGAACACATGCAATTTGTTTTGTTATATTCGCACACATACACACAGACACGCCTGGAATACATATTACTGCTGTAAAAAATTAAATCATTACAAAATTGATTACATTTTGTTTTGAACATTGCCTTTAAATATTTTTCATTATGACATAACAACCTGTTTTTGTTGTTATTTGGTTTCACTGCATATTTTTAAATTTAATAATATAATATTTGATGTATTTATATAATTCACAATATCAGGCGCGTTACCAAACATCTACCCACGTTAATAATTTAAGTATCGTGTTTCATTAATCTTACCAAGCGCAACAATTATAATCCAATATTTTTCTATTTGTTATACCATTAACAATTCCATAGAGTTCATTATTCATTGAAAATACATTTTAACTATGTTCACATTTAAGTTCATTTTAACATCACGATAGCATCAGATCAAATTTACGTTCGGACCACAAACGGAGGAATAAATTCACCGTATTAGTTTTGGCACTACGAAATTCGTGCTTTTAACACCACACCTAATATATCTTTTTACTGGACTCATAATTCAAATGAAGCAAGTATGTCGCATTCTTGGCGTCATTTGGAAATTACTCCATATTCTTATGCAGTTCTTTAACTTATCTGTTTCCATCAAAATTGTCAGATAAATACTTTTGTTTTCACAGATATTCTTCATTTTTTTTAAATCGATGAAACCCGTTGATGCTGCAGTAAATTTGTAGGTAAATGATGATTTAATTGTCACAAGTTTTGCAGCACTGTTCTTTGTACCGTCTTAAGGCGCACATGTTCATAGCTCGTACATTTTCGCAATATCTGGACGTATCTCTGCAGACTCCATCTACAAAACAAAAAACATCTTTGATATATTGCCGTGTTCTGATAGCTTTAGAGAATTAACGATAGAGCCGATTTTGGGAAACTGACATCTCGTTTAGATCAGACGTAAAATACCCAGACCGTTGAAGGAGAACAGAGTCAGAGATATGAAATGGCTGGTGCTGCGATCTTTAATAATAGGAAGTAACAACTGAAGGGAATTTTAAAAATGTTACAATATTAAAGAAAATTACGCAACCAGAAATAATTAGTTTTAAAATTTTATTCCCTTAGATGTGAGTAAAATTTTTGGCAATTTTTGTCGTCTGTCGTGACTTCTGCTGTCTATCAAAGTGTTTTTAATTACTCATACTATGTTGAAATAATTTTAATCTATTTCGGATATAAAATGCTATGATAGAATACAGATAGTGTAATTTACAATATTCGATCAAAAAAAGAATTGTAACATATTAAATAAAATAAAGAAAAAAGAAATTCGCTTCTACTTAGGATCTATCTTGTCTAAGTTCTGTATAGCCAGAAAATAGTTGTAATCCGAAATTAAAAACAAATAATACGACCACCAAACAACCAACGTCATCATCATCGGGCCTGCAGTGATTGTGTAACTCTGCTAGAAATCGTTGCCTTTAGAAATCGCTCCTCAACTGCGTTGTTTTTTCCTTTATCATATAATATTTTATGACTTCAAATAAGAGAATATGTAAACACGTCGACGTATAATCGTTAATAAACAAAGTCAAATTAAAAACCAAATTTCAAAACGGAGGCATAAAATATTCAAGTTTATTCCTGGTAATTTTTTACAGAATGAGGGTGACAAACGAGCATAGAGTCCACCTTATGGTAAGATGATGCTGTGATCCATGGGTATCTACATTTATTCTTGATTAAAAAACGAAATGTAGATGCGTTGTCATCTCTAGGATTAAGATGGAATGCCACTTTTCCATTAAAAAGGGTATCCGGTTCTCTACACTCACCATACGAAACACTACAACACTAAGCTGTTATTTTCACTACTGTGTTTCGTATGATGAGTGTAGAGAACCGGATACTCTTTTTAATGGAAATGAGACATCCATCTTAGTCATCATGGGTGACAACGCATCTGCATTTTGATTCGTCTATGGGCCACAGCATCCACAGCACACACAAATCGATTTCTACGAGCCCTTATCACGGGCTCTCCTCGATAAAAATCTATAAATTTATATATTTATTATTTATATTACATATTTATATAATCTATATATTTATTATATATTAAATATAATAGTGGTTTCCTTTACTCCAATCTATTACAGTATTTTCCTTATTATAATTTTTTTAATTATTTTATAAGAAAAAAATCGACCACCAGCGACAAAGTTCACGAGTAAAGCGAATAATGACGAGTATGTAAACACCGATACGAATACATTTTTTTTCTTTTTATAGCGCACAGTCCACCTGATGGTAAGTGACCGCTGCAGCTCATAGACATCTACGTCTATCCTCGATTACAAATCAAAATGCAGATGCGTTGTCACCCGTGAGGACTGAATTGTAATGCCTCCTTTCAATTAAAAAGGGTCTCCGGTTCTCTACACTTACCATACGAAACATAGCAGCATCAAGCTACTATTTCACGCTGCTATTCTGTGAGAGCGTGGTTCCTCCCCGGTCGAGCCGACCTATTCGTGCTACAACTATACTACTAATATAACTGCAGCGTGGCTCTACCACGTATAAACATACGATCATTCCTTTGACTTGCGCTAATAAGCCGACATCGAGTGGAGAACATGCGAATACTTGGGCAGAGTAGCGAGAACATCCGGACCCGGCGTTTACATTTCCGTACTCGTGCCTATTCTTCCGTGGTCGACGAATATCTAAACGTTGAATTAAATACGAGATTTTGTTAAACCTGGCCTTAAACCTTTACCTATAGCACAAGGAGATACTTCACAAGCCCTGGAAACATTAGGGCGACGCATGCCTTCGCAGGCGGCACCGGCGCTCCGTTCTCGCCTCCGCCTCGCCTTCTCAGTACGTGGGCCGCCCACGCGCCACACGCAACGGAGCACCCTGTGCTGACGACCGGTACTCCCACACGTGCCTATACACTGTAGTAAATAAATTTGTTTAGACTGGAATTGGAAGCTACTTGTCATGAGTTTTTCCCTTCAGAAAAGAGTGATGATAATTTAAAAAAAAAGATCTAATTACCGCGTTCCCCTGCGATCATCCCTTTTATAACAATAATTTTAATCTTCTTACTATAAGCCAAGTTATAAAAGCTTTGCCTTTGGAACTTTCAGGACATATGTAAGGATGTAATTAGTCAGACTATAGAGTTATACACTCTTATCTGCTATTTGTTGGATTTGATTAGTATTTCAACTTTATTTTAATTCAAATGTTGTTCAAACCAGATAAATTATAACTAGACTTGACAAAGAAAACTCTAATTTATGCAAAATCATTGAGTGAACCTATGAACGAAAACAGGTAATGGGAGATGGATGATGTTTGCGAGGCGGCGAGAACGTAATAAACATATATTATTGTATTACATTAGATTTAAATGAGGCGAGAAAGGTGTATGAGGATCGTGTCAAATGGAAGTCCATAGTCTATGCCTACCCCTCTAAGTGATAGGCGTGAGCATTTATGTTTATATTTATTATATTATTTATTTGTTTCGGTCCCTTATCAAAAGTAAAGAATTTTTATTTTGACTTAGGAATCGGAAAACTTTTTATATCTCCACATTAAACTCCATATTTCACTTTTATGTACCTAGAGGGATCTTTAATTTATATATTTATTTTAGATATAAAGCTATTTTAGCATACAAAGCCTACCTAATGAGTTTAAAAAGTTTGTAGGATTTGTAAAGAAAAATATATAAGACGTTAAAAGAAAATTTTCGTTTACTTTAGTATTCCTTCCATTTCCTATCCAACGAACAACATTTTCAAGCAGACGAAACAAAGAAAAGCTTTTTGTTTTAAGCAAATATTCTTGCCATGACTTGTATCATTGACAAAACACAATAGAGGTCTACGAATAAAGAGTTTTCATTAAAAATATACAATTTTTGTATACCTAGGAATGCCTTTCCGTATTTAATATATTGTTAGTTCGAGTTATTTTTGTAGATCCACTATTAAAGGGTTTATTTAAAGGAGAAGAAATTTGTATGAACATAAAGTATATTTTTTTCAAATCGCTCTCAATATCATCATCATCATCATAGCTCATCAATTCATCACAGCTCATCAATCACTGTTGATCGTATGCCTCTTCATAGATTACCCACAAGAGGGGATATTTGTTATATGGTAGAGCCACGCTGCAGTTACATTATAGTTGTAGCACGAATGGGTCGTCTCAACCGGGAAGGACCACGCTCTCACAGAGAATACCAGCATAAAATAGCAGCTTAATACTGCTGTGTTTCGTATGGTGAGTGTAGAGATCCGGAAACCCCTTTTTACTGGTTACGAGGCATTTCGTCTTAGTCCTCAGGGGTGACAACGCGACGTTTTGATTCTTACTCTAGGATAAATGTAGATATCTATGGGCCATGACATCCACTCACCACCAGGTGGACTGTGTTCTCGTTTGTCATCCTTATTCTTTATAAAAAAATAGTTACCAAGCCTGACAGACAGAGAGTAACTGATACAGAAGATATGTAACAGCATTTTCCTGATAACAGTTCCAAATTTAAAAACTGCGATTGCCTAGCCACCTACCAAACGTGGCTACTATTGTAAATATCGCTTCTATGGGACAATCTATGGTTAATGTATTATTAAGGCTGACAATAAAGACATTTATACTTGCAAAAGATATATTACTTGATAAATGAATGGAAAAAAGATGTATAACGATGTAAGTTTTTCGCACCCAAATATCCTACGAATTTCGAGCAAGACAAGAGTTTAATGGCATCAGTGGAACCTAAATATGCTGTAATTAATGAATGAACGACGGCGTGATAGCTCTTACCTTACTCCAAGGGCCTACAGCCCATGCTGGTTTGCAGGGATGAGGCTCTCGCTGGATTTTCTCTGGCTGCGTGCTATAGGAGCACGAGGAGTCCGATAAGGCGGTGCCGTTTTCGCTTACACATTCTACACGTCGACGGAGTACCGCTATGTAATGATATAATGAAAATACACATCTGAATATCAATGTAATTTTTTTATAAGAGAGGGGTCACTATCCCCGTCACCACTAATCCCAGCACCACTACTCCCAACCCAACTATACTAGGAAAGACACACCACCGTCAATAATACGACACGTATTTCGCTTCTAAATGCAGTGGCTGACCGCTAACAATACCGCAATGTATTAACATAATAGATATCCGCAAAGTAACGCCTGATTCTACTTTTATATAATTTAATCCGCAAGAAAAGATGTTTGCGGTTTAATCCGCAAACATCTTTTCTTGAAAGTCCCTAAGACGTATCGGTCCGGGAAAATTTCTGGTAGTAGTCGATTCCACAAGAAAGTTGTGCGAGGAAGAAAATTTCTTTTAAATCGCACAGTGGTGGACCGCCCGTCATCTATATGTAGTATGTATGGTATCGTGAGTATCGCTTTTAAATGGGAAATAGTTCATCCTTGTTGATTTAATTGTTTTTCTTGGTATTACTTAGTAAGGTTTTTACTTTTAGGCTGTAACTTTACTTTTTACTATACTTAGTAAGCGAAATTTGTGGGTGACTATTTGGTTTCCGTGTAAATACTAGGAACAAAGATTTTATTCAATTAAAATTGAAGTCACCGAAAGAAGGATACAGATGAGTTGTTAACTGTAATCAAAGGGAGCTCTACTAATAGTAAAAAGAACTCATAAAAAGACTCCATAGTCAGAAAAAAATAGAGTGCAAAAGACCTTATGCGTGTTTTAAGTAAAAGAATAGCATAGAATAAATTACGTATACATTTTTGATGTATAATGATTTTACCCTAATTTATATAATAATATTTATCAATAAATTATTAATAATTAGTATGTACTGACTATTTATAAATAAAATAGAAACAAATTTAAGAATAATGTTTTATGTCTAAAAATTGTATTTAATATAGGTTAACACATATTCTATATTCACGAAATACTTTAAGTCAGTAGCTGTCTTCGAAATGTGAAAACTGCCTCAGGGGACTGTAGATTTTACTGTAAGTTATTTCCGTTCTAAAAAGATCTGAGCTAGTCTCAAGTCGCGCCCAGTGTATGATAAGGCTCGATGAAAGTATATTTTATTCATTGTAGAGGTAGTAAAAATTAAAGTTATATATACGAGTGCGTCCCACTCATGAGCACAAGCTTCCTCATTTGATTGAAGTGTCTGCCGCATCGGTGTGGCGTCACCAAGTTTACCAACACGGGCCTCTTGTGTCTTGGCATTATTATTTTTCAATTTCTCAGACATGCAGGTTTCCTCATGGTGTTTTAATTCACCATAAAACACGTGGTAAATCAAAACTTAACACTGCAATTATATTTGTAATGATTGTTTTGGTGTCGCCGGGGATCGAACCAGGGTTGCTCGGGTTATATGACGTTTACGGCGACCCCTCCGAGCCTTGAGTATTATTTCGCATTTTAAATTTTACATTGAGGATGATAACATATACAAAAACAGAAATGTCTTACCAGCTCCACTCGCAAGACATCGAGGTGGGAACCATGTCGTAGTCCGCCAGGTGGCGCAGTTAACGCCTGAACATTCGCGAAGCACATTCGGTGGAGTCACTCCCCTGCTTAAGCATTCTTCAGCCTCTACTGTGGTTGTGTTGTTGTTTTTCTTATGCTAAAAAGAAAAAATATTGTAGTGGCGGTGTAAGAACATCCACTACATAATCATCCCATGGGTGTCATAAGAGGTGATGATACAGGGAAACGAAAGATTTTCACATCTTCCCGATGACAATGCTTGCTTCCCAGAATCCTTCTTGTGAGGAAATCTATGGGGAAGGCCTGTGTTCATCTGTGGACTATCTTTCTATACACATATATATATATATATATATATATATATATATATATATATATATATATATATTGATTGATTGAAATTATTTATTCTTCATAACGTTCTTTGGACACACATGACTTATATATAGGTGGATATATATGTCGTATATATATATATATATATATATATATACATGTGTATGTGTGTGTGTGTACTGTATATACTGCATGACCTTTTTTACCAGATGGTAAAAAATGGTGTAAAACAAACATTTTGAAGTATATAAATATATTAATTAAAATCTCTCGAAATTGAAATCAAATCCACCCTATTTGATAAACGGCAAATTAAACAATAAATTTAGTACGCATCTTTGACCTCGTCACTTCGCAGGGTAACAGGCAAGGGTGCCATAGGCTTCTACTCCGTTCACATGTTACACCCTATTTTTTTCCACTTGGTAAAAATGGTCATCTTGTATATGTACATATAAGCGAAATAACAATCACGAGATCTCTAAAATTATAGACCCGATCGAGTTGAAATTTGGTATAATTACTCATTTCGCAATGCAGATGCTCACTAAAAACGAATTTTATGATAGTCCAATAAAAAAAAATCTTGATATTTTACATCCGTGCGCCCAGCGAAGCGAGCGGGTAGAAAATAAATTTACCTGACAAACTGCTCCTCTCACTTGATGACCTTTTTGTCCACATGGGGCACTGCACATAGACCAGTCTGTTGTCCTCCATGTGTATTCTTTGGCATCGTTTGGAACTTTTGTTCTATAAAAAGTGAGTGATTGTGTAAGTACGTTTTTAGATAAAGCTAAATTAAAAAATTGTAAAACACGTGACTTAATGAAAGACAATTTCTAGTAAGGTAGTGTATAGTGATATACTCGAGAAGAACATGTATATTGGTAATCTTACTACATATTTCATAATGTTAAAGTAGGACATATAATAAAAAGTGGAAGAATTGTATCTTACGCAATTTCGGTATATGACGCAGTTGTATCAACCAAGTGATATAGATCTTCTTTTAGGCTTTCAACTCTTTCTTCTTCAATCGTATTCCTGTTATAATCTTCGTTGACAATTATTATATCAGAATCATCATCTTCCGGGAAAACGATTTGCTTATCTCGCAGATTCACAACGTGAGTTTTAGTTGGTGAAACGTGGTTCTGATACATTACCACGGGATCCACCATTCTCTGGCCCCTAGAATTGCCGAGTGTCTGGAAATTCCAAAAAATCTGCATATATCAATTATTATGAATCTAGGCTTTCGAAAATTATTTCCATATCATTTGCTAATTTTACGGATTTTATCGCTTTTAATTTTAAATAATTTTTGATTCCCAATGTTTCGAAGAGACCTTCAGCTTTTAATTATTGTTTTCTGGTTTACAAATTGACCGTGTAATGGCGGTGCTAAAATATCTACTGCTCCATATCTTCATCAACCCGCCTGCCAAGCTTGGCAGCTATGCCAAATACCTCCTCTATAAGACATTCTATGGTGTAGGCCTATGTTCAATAGAGGACTTTTGATAGGTTTGTTAGGATTGATTTACGTAGGACGGGTTTGCAGTATGTTGAAGTGTTGCAGTGGTGTACTTGGCTTTAAATGTAACTTCATTACTCGATCGTGAGCCGAAGTCGATGCCTCACGAAACATCATTACTAGGAATTGCGGTCCATTTGCACCTCGGTGAGTTTTTTTTTCTATTTACTTATTTAGAATTTAGGGGCTTTTGTCTCGAACGGATGTTTGTCCCATTATACCCTAATCTTACACATTATATATACACACTGTTGAAAAAAATCTTATTGGAAAAACTGATAGTTATTCTGCTAACACAGTTTAACAAACTTTTAAATCGTTTATATTTTGTATATAAACAATCTGAAAATGTTTACAGAATACTAATATCCTGGAGGGCTGCAATTCAACGTCAGCTATAAACTGTGTTACGTGGTTTTAAAACGATCATTTCGTTTGCGTATTTAAAAGAGAGCTAACTTGTTCTGCATTTGTAGAAGGGTATGATACTTGACGGATGATTAAAACAGACTAACCTTCTTCGGTAGCATTTGAAAAATCATAAGTTAAACGCGATAAAATCCGTACAATTAGTTTTACAAATGTCAAGTCTTGTGCTTATGTAGTGATTTTTAAGTCACCAATATTTTAAATTTGTACAAATAGAATTAATAAAAAGCACTAAAAACTGGAAAAATCCCAATAACTAACATGTGAATACTGTTTGGTGAATAACTAAATCGATTTTCATTATTCACAGTTAAAATACAGCTGACCACCATCTGATTAAGAAAAAAAAAAACTAATGCAATTATTACGAGTATAAGGGAATTGGAAACTTAATGAAATGAGACCTGTCCAAAGTACACCACCAGATAGAGAACATGCCGTAAATAAAAAAAAACACAATTCAATGTTAAAATATGGCATCAGATCCCCGAACGCGGAGTTGGCATGCTCTATTTTAGAAACTTCTCACCTGAATTTGCATTATTATGTAATGTAGGCACGGTAACAATCTGGAGGCACTGCTTGCTTTTGGTGGAAGCATCCGAGAAGAGACTGCACTCTCCTTTGTTGGAAAATTCCCAAGCAGCGTGCGCATAATTAAACTTTCAGTTTACAAAGTCACATAGATTAAGAAGCGTGTGTAAATTGCTTTATTTTACCAATAATAAGATACTAAATAGCCTTTTATACTTAAGTTATACAATTTCATTGAACCTTTAACAATTAATATACTAGGGTTTAAAGTTGTGTTTAATTTTTCAAATTCAAAATATTTATTGCAAGTTTAGTATTTACATTTGGCAAATATGATGTTTCTTCCAATTTAACCACCCTTTTCGAGTATTTAATAGGTCTGTACCTAACACGTGTGCCTTATATATTTCTAAAGTGCTCAGAAGAAAAATATATAATAGTGACGTATTAGGGCGGATTGGGTTGTGTGTTCCAGACGTTCCAGAAGACGTATGGAAACGACGGCGGCCACAGCTGCTCTCCGTGTCGCGCGACCACACTAATTTACTAGACAAAGCATCTTTAACGCGATCGTTACATATTCTTAATAGAATGGCTGAAGACATTAACCTATTCTGTTGCTCCTTGAGAGAATTTACTGGAGTTGGATTGTTTACAATTTGTTACAGTTAATTTACACATTTTTGTTATGCTTAAAAAGAACTACACTGTCGCATTATGTTAATCCTGTCATGATAGTTGTTAGTTTTTAATAAATAAATAAATAAGTTACATACTTAATAAAGTTGCTAGTTATGTGAATTAATCATTTCTTATATATTACGTAATAATAAAATAAAGAATACTTAAGTAATTAGGTTTAAAGTTAAAAGTTAAAGTTACAGCCTATATACGTCCCACTGCTGGGCACAGGCTTCCCTCATTTCTGAGAGGGTTTTAGGGCAAGGAAGTGTCCGCCGCGCTGCCCCAATGCGTGTCGGCGAACTTCACACATGTCTTCGAAATATTTTTGTCTTGGTTTCTCAGACGTAGTTTCCTCACGATGTTTTCCTTCACCGCCGAGCACATGGTAAATCAGCACTTAAATTTGCAATTAACAATTTTATTGGTGCCGGCGAGGATCGAACCCGGTTTGCTCGCGTACTGCGAAATTTAGAGCGAGAGCTAAGAGCTTACCATCTGAGCTACCACGGGTTTATGGTAGAGTATTTTAATTAAGTACATATTTTTCCATTTTGTGAAAACAGATTTGTATTTTTTTAATTTCTCATTAAATGGAAGCAATTTCTTTTATTTAAAGTATTTAGATGTTTATAATAATCTATAAGTAAGTTAAAAACAAAAAGTTCTGTCGGTAATTTATTTTTACTTCGGTAAATCAAAGAAACTGGTGAATAACTGTTGGTTTAATATTAAATGTAACTAACATTCAACGAACTTTTTTTTTTTTAATTTATTCGTGACCATGGTTGCGAGGACCTTCAGTCGAAAACATTACAGTACTTATAACACAAATCATACATCAAATTAAGAATATTTAACTTTAGCAATAACAATTTAGAATGGTTTTCCATCATTTTTCTACTTTTTTTCCTATTATATAAATATAGAACAGACTAAATTACAAAATGAACTAAGAAGCTATTTACAAACATTATCAATTAACTAAGGACACATAAATAATTAAAGTTTTCCTACAGTATTAAGTATAAATTTAAATAGAGGCATGAAAAAAACTACATTAGTTAATAGATCCTGAACGCGGCGGGGAACACTTATAGAATTTTCTTCAGCGACATCACTAATTTCACTGACAAGTGTCAACCTTTGAATCCCAAACGATGGGCACTGGAAAATTATGTGGTTTATGTCTGCATTATGTTGAGCGCAATGTGTGCATTTGTCATCAGCTACGATCTTCATTCTGTACAGATGTGCAGGGACGAGGCAATGGCCAAACCGCAAGCGGTTAATGATCGTTATGAACTTTCGGCCTGTGTATTTAAGGCGGTTGTACCACGGAATCGTTGGTAAGTCTGGCTGTAATTCTGCGTACCATTTTCCCTTATTCACGGTAGTAATGTTCCAGTAATCCTTCCACAGTTTCTTTGACAAGATTTTAAAGTGTTGATAACAATCTGTGAAGGGGACTTTACAATCTTGTGTTTGGTCTTCGTGGTGATCTTGCCGCGTCGCCTGATCCACTATCTCATTTCCGACTATGCCACTGTGTGAGGGAACCCATAAGAATTCTATACATTTTCCAATCGTTTGCAGCTTATCCTTAATTTTATACAAAATATAATTCTGTTTATATACTAAATTACAGTTACATAAAGCAGATAAAACACTTTTAGAATCACTAACTATCAAGATATTTACACTATTTACATTGGTATTTACATATGACAAAGCAGCTAATATAGCCCAACTTTCTGCTGTAAAAATACTACAATTACTTGGCAATTTCATACATTTAATAACTTTCATTTGTGAGTCATAAAATGCTGCTTTAACAAGATCACTCTTGGAGCCATCAGTATATATGTGTAGAAGTCTTTCTTTTCATTTAAAAATTCTAAGAATTCATTCTTAGTACTAACCGAATCTAAATGACATTTTATATCAAGATAATTAAGTAATGTATCATATGGGCATTTGTAAACAGGCCACTTGTTACTGATGTACATATCTCTTGTCTGATTTTTTACACAAGTTGTTATTGTTGTTAATTCAGGCAATGTACCCGAAATAAGAGTATTAGCCGAGATGTTGGCTGTTCCAATTAACTGGGAGACTTCTGCAGGATATAAAACATTACTCAGGACAATATCATTGCTACAAGACAACTCCTTCAAACAGAATCTTTCAGCCAACTGCAAACGCCGCAAGGACAATGGAGGTATGCAATTTTCAACTTCCATAGAAACAATAGGAGTGGTGCGCATGGCTCCACTGATTATTCTCAGACCCATATTCTGTATCACATCCAATTTTCTTAACAATGTGCTACTAATATTCATGTAAGCTAGAGAGCTATAGTCAAAGTGACTCCTTACAATACTTTTATACAGCATGCTAAGTGTTTTTGGATCAGACCCCCAAAAGGTTCCTGCTAAGCTTCTTAGTACATTTATGCTCTTCATGGCATTCTGACAGATATAGTTGATATGCTTATCAAATTTCAGTTTATCATCTAGCACAACTCCTAAAAATTTATGATGATTGGCTATAGGAATTGCATCATTATTATAGTTAATTTTAATTCCAGAGTTTACAAATGTGTCTTTACTGAATACTAAAACTTTACTTTTCTCAGAACTTATTTCTAATTTTAAAATGTTGCTATAATAATGATGCAATTGTGCCAATGCAGTATTAATTCTATTAATTGCTGTATTTATATTCTGGTTTTCACTGTATAAAAGTATGTCGTCTGCAAACTGTAATATTTTAACTTGTGATGTATCTACATAATTAAGTATCTGAGATGTGTATAAATTATACAACAAAGGTGAAAGTGTCGCTCCCTGCATTGTTCCTTTGTTAACAGGCCTAGGTCCATGTAGTTTATTGTTAAATTTAACAAAAAGAGTCCTATCATGCAAGAAATTTAAAATCCAGATTAATACATTTCTTGGCAAGCCCAATTCATGCAAAACTTTTATGAGGCATTCAATATTAACATTGTCAAAGGCACCTTTAACATCTAAAAATACACATATAACATTAGAATGGCTAAGTTTGGCCTTTTTTAAGTTCCGATATCAGAGATACAAAGCTTTCAGAGCAACTTCTGCCTTTTCTGAATCCAAATTGTATGTGAGGTAGTTTATCCTGTGTTTCAGCAAAATAATCTAGACGCAACTTTAACATGTTTTCAAAAAGCTTACCTAAACATGATGACAAAGAAATAGGTCTGTATGATGATGGATCATTAGCAGCTTTATTTGGCTTTAAAATGGGGATTACACATTGGGTTTTCCATGACTCTGGTATAGCTAAATTATTCCAAAGTTTATTATAAATATTTAATAACATTTCTTGTGCATTAGGATGTAATTTTTTTTATTAACATATATGGTATGCTGTCCAACCCTGGTGTTGTATCTTTCCTACTTTTGAGTGCTATGTACAATTCATTTAGTGTGAATGGTCTATTGAGAAACGAGTTACTTTCATTTTCAACAGATTGATCTAAAATATCATTCAAATAATCTTCATTCAACTGCGATGAGTCTGTTATGTTGTCTAAGAAGCTTGGTATCCAATCGTCAGCCAAATATCTGTTATGAGAAGAACCTATCCTTCTAAACCTTTTCATGTAGTTCCATATTCGAGAAATAGGTGTCATTCTATTAAAACTAGTACATAAATTGTGCCATGAATTAATACTTTCTTCTTTTAATATCCTTTTCTTTTGAGCATCAAGTTTTTTGTAGTTAATGAAATTAGGAATACTAGGCGATTTTCTATACTCTTTGAGGGCCTCCTTAGACTTTCGAACAGCATCATCACATGTTTGGTTCCACCAGGGTGCAGGTTTTCTCATTACCTTTAAAGTTTGTTGTGGTGTTTGCTTTGGAACAGTCTCTGCTCTAATATCATACAAAATATTTACAAAATTATTATACAAATCAATAGGTTCTGTACCATGTATTTCTAAATTACAAAATCTCGTTTCTGATAGTTCTTGATATTTAGACCAATCTGCTTTATTATAAATGTATTTTTCTTCCACAGGACGCACTTCATATATAGAAGGCTTCACATTTAGAGCGACCACAGTTGGGTAGTGGTAACTGCCCATCGGGTCGTCATGGACGTGCCATTCACAAAGAGGAGTTAACGCAGAACTAACCAGAGCTAAATCTATTGCCGACTGATTTCTGTTAGGATACTGGACAGTTGTAGCTGTGTCACCATCATTCAGAATACACAAGTCAAAGTCATCAATAAGTGCATATAAACTGTTACCTCTATTATTATTTGTCCGACATCCAAACAGGATATGGTGCGCATTAAAATCTCCCATAATAAGACATGGCTTAGGAGTTTCAAGTAGCACCTTTTTCATTTTGCTAGTAGTAAACCTGCTGCTATTGGGAGGACAATATACACATAGAATATGTAACTTACCCATAGTTGTGTCTAAGGAAATGCAAATATTTTGCACAGATTCGAAAAAAAGTTGTATTTACAATAGTGTATTTTAAGTTTTGTTTAATTAATATACCTACTCCATTATGTTCATTTATTGAGTTTTTGTGTATAAAATTATAGGGTGAAAAATCGGGAATTGTACTAGTTGTTTTAAGCCAGGTTTCATTTAAAAGACAGATATCTATATGTTGTTCTGAAAGAAATTTTTTAAGTAAGGCCCTTTTTGTTCTGTAAGCTCTGTATGTTATATTGTGCTATATTCAAATATGTATCCATTATGGTATTAAATTACTTAAAAGTATGTCTTTAATTCTTTTATTTGTAATCGGAGCGCTGCTCTTGTCATTGCCAAGCATAACTAATGATTTGACTAGCGCATTAATAATTAACTCGTTGTTTAGTATTTGCTCAGCATTATATGGTACTTTATTTATGTCAGTATCAATAGTCTTTACAGGTTTAAGGTTTGGGAATGCTCTCGGGTCGGGCATTGCTGGGATACTCACCACAGCGGCATACGATCGGTTTGGTTTTAAATACTTATTCTTCTTCTCTTCCATCTTTTGTTGCTTCGCTGGACAGTCCCTAGAGATGGCTAAGTGACCACCTTGACAGTTGATGCACACAATTTTTTCGACGTCGCATTCTTTGTAGGAGTGTTGTCCGGAGCACGAAGAACACATTTGAGAACCTCGGCAGACTTTCGCAGAGTGATTAAACTTCAGGCATTTGTAGCACTGTAGTAATGGAGGGATGTATATGTGGACCGGGTATCTGAACATCTGTATGTAGGCGTGCTGCGGCAGCGCTGTCGCAGCGAAGGTCACTGCAATGGTCCCCAGCGGAGTGAGCTTTCCATCTACCTTTCGCATAAATCTCTTGACGGAGATGACTTCTGCATCGCAGGTAATGCTTTTGTATATGTCTTCATTGCTTAAGTCTTTAGGTACGTATCTTATGACTCCAGTAATTTCAGTGAGGTGCGCAGGCACAAATGCTTTTAATTTGTGTTTTCCCAGAAAGTGTGTCATGGTAAGGAAGTTATTGGCCGGTGCTGGTTTTCTGAACATTATGCCCACTTTATATGCGTTCACTCTGTGGACGCCAGCGATTCCTTTTACATTTTCCGTAAATAACTTTGTAAGTGTTATTGGATTTTTGTTACCAATTTTTTCGCTTTCTTGTGATTCAACGTAGACTACGCAGTCTACGCTGTGGTTTTCTGGGAATTGTCGCGTGTAATTTGTTTTTGTGAAAATTTTGTAGTCGACGGCATTTCCTTTGCGAGTATCGGGCAATTTCCTTTTCTTTGATTTTTGCTCGGTGGGGGTCGGGCCCCCGTCGGAATCTGGATCCATTGTATTTACACTATATATAGGTATGTACTAATTAACTATTTACACGGAAATTTACAAAATATATACAAAATAAAATGAAATGAAAATTCAGCAAGAATTAAAACACCCGCTTAACTTGACTTCCCGCCTTTTTTTCCATTCAACGAACAAACGAATTGAGTTGCCATATTCATATTCTTAATGAATATGGCAACTCAATTCGTTTTATTACAAAACGTGATTTATTGATAATTTCGAGTTTAAACTATGATTTAAAAAGTGTCCTCATAAAAGAAATAGTAATAGTATAGCCGCGGCGCCACAGTATTCGCGAAATTTGACATGTACTGTCAAATTTCATACTTCACATTTTCGTTCATGATTTCTTGAAATATAATTTACTTCAAACCTGAGACTAATTATACACTATTTTTTTAATTAGTCAAAATGGGTTTAAGTAAATTAAAATTACCAAAAAAAATCATATTTAAGCATTTAAAACTAAAAACTTTTCAATTAATAGCGAAACCTTGAAAAGAAAAGAAATATAAAAAAAATACTTCACAGCAAATTATTTTTAATGAGATATTTTCAACCACAAGTGTTGCAAAAAGTATTAGATAAAAGTTTAATTTTTAGCAAATAATTTTTTTTAACAGTATAAGGGTGACAAACGAGCACACAGTCCTACCGATGGTAAGTGGTTGCTGTGGCTCATAGACATCTACATATATCATCGATTACGAATTAAAATGCAGATGCGTTGTCACCCGTGAGGACTAAGATGGAATGCCTCGTTTCCAGTAAGGGCCGATCCTCATTTGCCGTTCACAGTTCGTTCTCGGTCCGATCTTGGTCTGACGTATTATACATGGGATGGGATTCGAGCGAAACTTGACTGTTACGGATAGTATGAATGCATACACATATTTTTTTACTTGATAATATTTTATCATTAAGCTACTGTTTTACGCTGGTATTCTGTGAGAGCGTGGTCCTTTTCTGGTCGAGCCGATCCATTAGTGCTACAACTATACTACTAATATAACAGCAGCATGGCTCTACCACGTATGAATTAGACGCAACATGCCCTAAACATGACTATATCTCATTCTCTCGCAGGCTAAATACTATATATAGATAGTATTTGTGTGTCTGTATTTAGTATTGCTTTTTTGTTTCATCGAATTTCAAAATCACAAATATTTGTAAGAAATTTTCACTTCAAAAATATATTTTTATTGAACTTTCGTTTGAAATTTATTTAAATTAAAGTTGAACTTAATACTTTTTGTCTATCATAACTATACTTTTGAATAGAAGTTGTTTTAAATGCCATAATGATTAGCTATCTGGAACAATTTTGCTAAGTTCTGCAATAAAATGGTCTCAATAAAGTTTATGGCGCGCTTTAATGTCGCAATAAAATATATTTAACGCACATTATCGCTAGACTATCAAAATGGAGCACAGCTTTAGCATGATAGAAAATATTTCCTTTTCGAAAGTCCTTGTAATTATATGTGATGACATATTTAGCCCGATTTTAACCGATGGGGAAGAAAGGTTCGCGGTTGTCACCCTCGTACCGGTAGGCGAAGTACGGGGCGATCCGCCTCTAGATGGAGTGACGACCTAGTAAGACATACAGGGAGTCGAAGGATGCAGGTGGCTCATGAACGTGCTTTGTGGCTTTCCTTGCCTGAGGAATGATTATCCCGTTATGATTGTTCAAGTCACAGAACTGTTACCTCGTGGCGTTTTGAGATATGCTGTCAAGAAGTGCTGGTATAATTTACTATCGATGCTTTTAGACGAAAAATGAAGGGTCATTTTTAAGATTTTTTTTATGTATGTAAAGTTCTGGCCGTCGCCGTGGTAGCTCAGATGGTTAGCGCTCGCTGTAAATTTCGCAATACGCGAGCAAACCGGGTTCGATCCCCGCCGGCACCAATGAAATTGTTAATTGCAATTTTAAGTACTGATTTACCACGTGCTCGCCGGTGAAGGAAAACATCGTGAGGAAACCTGCATGTCTGAGAAATAAGAAAAAAAAATATTTCGAAGACATGTGAAGTTCGCCAACACGCACTGGGGCAGCGCGGCGGACATTTCCTTGCCCTAAAACCCTCTCAGAAATGAGAGGAGGCCAGTGCCCAGCAGTGGGACGTATATAGGCTGTAACTTTACTTTTATGTAAAGTTCTGATTCTTAAGACGTCGCAAGATACTACTAACTTAACAATTAACTTAATAGTTTAGTCCGAAATATAAACAATATATTATATTAGGTGTGTAACTTATAAAGATTGTCATAAAATCTAATACGTGGTAGAGCCATGCTGCAGTTATATTAAGACTATAGTTGTAGCACTAATGGGCCAGCTCGACCGGGGAAGGACCACGCTTTCACAGAATACCAGCGTAAAATAGTAGCTTAATGCGGCTGTGTTTCGTATGGTGAGTCTAGAGAACCGGATACCCTTTTTACTGGGAACAAGGCATTCCATCTTAGTCCTCACTGGTGATAACGCATCGACATTTTGATTCGTAATCGCGGATAGATGTAGATGTCTATAGGCCACAGTAACCACTTACCATCAGGTGGACTGTATGCTCGATTGTACCCTATCCTATTAAAAAAAACGAACTTAAAAAGATTTTACTACAAACTGAGGTAACTTTGGAATAAAAACTTTATACTTCAGACTTATATTTCTGCATACAACATGAAATCAACAAGAAATCAATAGTTCTACAACATTCTATATTCTTGGCAAGGTCAGAGTGTGTTATTCTTTCTGGGACATATTTAGTTTTCTTTGTCTTTGTATGTAGTTTTTTGGTGCGCATATTCATGTCTTTTTTCTGTAATATACGCCAATTTTAAACGAAATTCCAGAATATCTTATGACTTTTGAAAAATCTTATTGCTTTTAGTGTAGTGGCGATGTAAGAATACCCACTACCCATATCTTCCAGTCCAACGATCAAAAATAAAAATAAAAACTGCTGTTGCCAACCCGCTTGCCAAGCGTGGCAACTATGGCAAATATTCTCCTATGAGGCAATGGGTGAGGCCTATGTTCAGTAGTGGACTTGCGAAGGCTGTATTTTTAATTTCTTATCACTTGGTGGAGCTACAAAAAAAAAAACAAAGAAATTTACAATATTCTGTACTGTTTTGGATAATCACGAAATTAATATCAAATATCACAAGGCTGTCGGAGACATGTTAAAGAGAATAATAGAGATTGAACTTTCAAGATGGTAATGTACAAACGTTGCTAAGGAAAACTTTTAATGAGACGAGGAAAGTTAAACGATTGAAATATAAACTACGATTGTTATGCACGAGTAAATATCTATTTGTAGACTGTATTTTGTTTGTTTAATATTATCTGTTAACAACAAAGAGGTGGAGAGAACAAGAGAAGTTTTAAGTACATAATTTTCTTATATAGTTTCTATTGTTTATGATGTTATTAAACATATTTCAACAAGCAACTCCCCCCCCCCCCGGCTTCTTCTGGATAGGATTTATTGTTTCGATTCTTTTTAATTAACAAAAGGTTTATCCCAGTTAAGTTTAGTTAAGGTAACTTAGCCCGGATAAATAGACCTACTCTGACGACGACTGACAAAAGTTAAATTTATTTGTATGGATTTATTTAAAAATACAACTTATGTGGTTTGCATTATTTTGTAATTTATGCTATATTTACTAGAGATGGGCCGAATATTCGTTTTACATTCGGTATTCGGCATTTTCGGCAGGTTTACCAAATATTCGTATTCGGCCAAATATTCGGCTAACTCACCGAACATTAGTTAAAGTGCTACTCAAAGTATCCACTGTATTGAAATGCAAGAATTGAGTAATGCCATCCATGTCTTTCATAATTTTACGGTTGAAAGTATATTTTATTTATGGGTTAAATCTACTTGTATAGCGTTACGTTTTTGAGGCACTGTAGATTTATTTCCAATTATAGGAAATAGAATGCTTGATATTTTTTCTTTGGAATCAAACAAAGAAGCAACACTTACATTAGTACATTTCACTTTACTTTGGTCGTTAGTTTCTCTAAAATAAATCAAAATAGTAGATCTCCTGCCACTCAGTTATATCATATTATTTTTATACGTGGTGGAGCCATGTTGCAGTTATATTAGTAGTATAGTTGTAGGAAGGGTCTCGACCAGGACCACGCTCTCACAAAATATCAGCGTCAAATAGTAGCTTAATGCTGCTGTGTTTTGTATGGTGAGTGTTGAGAACTGAAGACCCTCTTTACTAGAAACGAGGCATTCCATCTTAGTCCTTACGGGTGACAACGCATCTGCATTTTGATTCGTAACCGAGGATAGATATGGGCCACAGCAATCACTTACCATCAATAGGACTATGTACTCGTTTGTCACCCTATCCTATAAAAAATCGTACAACGGAATACTTTTTTTCTTACAAAATAGTTGCATTTGCCGGCAATTAGCTCAGTACTAGAAGATGCAATAACATGGCAGGTGGGATAGGGGAGCGAGGGACAGGGTCCGGCGCTAATCCAACATAATATTGGTCAGGTACCGAGGTGATCCTGCCGAATAATGTTCGGCCGAATATTCGTATTCAGTGAAATCTATATTCGGTCTATCTCTAGTATTTACGCGTATTATCCAGCAATATGGCTATTTTGAATAAAATAATTACGGCCTAACTTATAATTGTTGACTATCGCTTACATAAATTAAGTATTTAATATCTCTGTACCTGTAGCTTTCTATTGTTATTTAATAAAAAGAGAGACAACAAATTTAAGCACTGCTTAAATCGATGTCAATTTTAACAGTAACCACCGTCATATAATACTTGACAATGTAAATTTATACTGCGAAATTGAGAGTCAGAGTCGTTAAGACGTCTTTGGTGAAAGTTTATCAAATAAATTATCCATGTATTTAAGATAGGCCAAATTAAGAGTACACTTTACTGACGAACGTGTGTGTTTATGATCATGCCAAATGGAGTCCGAAGTACCTCTGACTAACCCTTTAGGTAACTACATCGTCGGTGAAGTTGTCGTAGACATGGTTGCAGCTCACAAGGTCCTGGGTATTCCTGGGTAGTCCCATTGGGTTTTTTGTCAAGAAATTCTCAATAGTAGTCATGAATTTTATAGAGTTTAGTTTTTTAGAAAGCTCGTAAAGCCGTCGGTCTCTCGTCTGATCTCTTTCCAGTTGAGTTGGACAACCGTCCCATTGGACTATGAGAGTGAGGGAATAGAGAGTGCACCTGTGCTTGCGCATACACTTGGCCACTATAATCTTGTTCTGCGATCTGCGTCCCGTGCGTGGGGGATATTCAGTAGGTGACAGATATGCTAGTTTTCATATTATTTTATATTAAAAGGTAAAGTTACAGCCTACATATGTCCACTACTGCGTACAGCCCTCCTCTCATTTCTGAGAGGATTTAAGAGTAAGGAAACGTCCGCTGCGCTGTCCCAATGCATGATAGCGAACTTCACATGTCTCCGGATTTTTTTTCTCAGTTATGCAGGTTTTCTCACGATTTTTTCGACTTAGGAGTATATCCACACCATCTGGATGCTTGGCGGTCCACCACTGTACGTTTCACTAGGAGTTTTCTTCCACATACGAGCTCTCTGTGGAATAGTTTACCACCGGCGATTTTTTCGGACCAATACGACCTGGGAACCTTCAAGAAAAGAGCTTACTCCTTTCTAAAGGGCCGGCAACGCACCTGCAATTCCTCTGGTGTTGCGGATGTTCATGGACGGCGGTAGTCATTTAACATCTGGTGAACCGTATGCTCGTTTGCCCCCCTCTTCTTTAAAAAAAATGTCTGAACCAGTAAATTAAATTAAAGTTACAGCCTATATACGTCCCACTGCTGGGCACAAGCCTCCCCTCACTTCTATGAGGGTTTTTAGGGCAAGGAATCCGCCGAGCTGCCTCAATGCGACACATATATGCTGTAACTTTACTTCAACTTTAACCTTTGAAATTGTTAGTTGAACTGACTTCATATTATGACAAATTAAATTATCATTTTTCGTCCTAAATTCCTTTGGAAACTTTAAACTAATTAATAACTCTAACAATCAAACTACAATTTGATTTCTTGAAACCAATAACACTTTGATAACTTTCAGCTAACGACTTTAAATCATCGACTTGCAAACAGCCGTTACAAAATCTTACACTGTTATCAAATGTTCATACATACATAGCGTCACGCCTGTATTCGCCAGGTTGGTAGACAGAGTCCGAATAGCAGCGAACTACTCCCAAAACAGTACGGCCAGTACGGCCATCTATTTCTGACGTGAAGTTGCAGTGCACTCTTGGTTACGTTTTTTGGATAATTTACATAGAGGTAGTAAGGCATTCATCCTAGTCTTCAGGGGTAACAATCAATTTGTGGTCTTCTTGAACGCTGATGGCTACTCGCGACCATGTGCTGCAGTAGCCACTTATTATCAGGTATGGTCCGTTAGTTTCTTGGTCATTCAAATACGTGCATTACACACACTCTACACGTACTCTCACAGCTGTCACCCAGAGGTTAATTTCGCATACCCTGACATACCTCTCTCGCCTCTTTTACATCCATATGTATACGTTAAATAAGGATACTATTCATTTGGCCCATCTTCAATCGCCAATTTAGTCGATAAACTTCCATCTCGAGAATCCATTATCAATTCTACCACTCAAATTAAATTTAATATTTGTCATTCAAATACAAAATAAATAAAATATCATTTTTATCCTTAGATTTAGTATATACTTACGTTTTTATCTGCCTTATAAAAAATGTAATACACGCTATATTTGACAAATATGAAACATGAAAATAAACTATGATATATCTCGAATAAATTATTGATTTGTAATTTTTATGGTATTTGGAGTTCTTTTAATTTTTTTTTAATTTCTTTTATACTAATATACACTATATTATGTACCTACTGAAATTGATTTCATAAAACTTTTTAAAATCACGTTCATTGCTTAATGTTATAATTTTATTAAATAATTCCTCACGTGGTATGAGCTATATGTGGAAATTCAAATATATAACCATGTGCTCAATAAAAATAAAGTAAAATAATCCTACCTCGTTCTCATCGTAGATATCTCGGGCTTGGGAATTGTAGGTTGGTGTTTTAGTTGTAGTGCCTGGACTGCCGTACAGAGCATCTCTCACTTTATCAATTTTTCCTGCAAGAATTTTCATTGCTATTTTTGAAATGTTAAGATAAGATAAACATTTATAGTCACAACTGTGTACTGTGAGGTTTTACAAATTCAGAGTATAGTTACAACAGTTTGTCCATTTTTGACATACAATATAAAATAAAATACATCAATAAATTAATAATAACTTCTAAAATTTTAATCTAAATTATAAAAACATTTTAATAATAACCATTCTTTCAGCTTTTTCTTAAATCCTGGGCACTCTGATGACATAATTAATGTATATAAATGTGTATATAAAATAATAAAGTTATCAGCTGGACCAGTTATCTGATGGACCTTTGGTAATTATAGTTTGGATGCTTGCCCCGAGTTAACCTAAGTTCAGTGCTCGAGATTGTCACTACTAAAAATATTAAAGCAGTTTTACTCACTGATTTAGCGTGTGGGTAAAGATCAGCAGATCGGTCCATGCTGTTGATGCACACACACAAGTACACGTTCACACATACGCTCACGCACAAGCACGCGCACACCTCTTACCTAATATGTGACGTACGTTACAGGTTTATAGGCTTTCCTAGGGAAACCATTACAGCCCATAAAAGTCCAGTACTGAACATTGGCCTCTCATATTTGGATATCACCTTAGTTACCACACTTGACAGGAGAGTTAGCAAACGCAGTTTTTCTATTATTTTGATATATTTTGTTTTTATTTGGGACTGCGAAGAGAACTTGCATCTCTTTGCGTATTTTATCGCATCTGACACGGGGAGTACTCTGAGGAATTGTTCGGACTAATTCCAGCCGCACGGTTTCACCATCGCCCATCGCGACTAAACTCGCGATACCATCCATACCATCTGGATAACTCTTTTCTTCCTCGCACAACTTCCTTGTGGAATCGACTTCCACTAGATATTCTTCCGAAACGATACGATTTAGGGACCTTCAAGAAAAAAGCCTACGCCTTTTGCAGAAGCCTGGCAACGCATCTGCAATTTCCCTGGTGTTGCAGTTGTTCATGGGTGGCGGTAATCACTTACCATCGGGTGCGCTGTTTGCTCGCTTACCACCTCTCCTATAAAAAGAAGAAGATGCCTATCTCCTGTTTCAGTTTACCCCTGTTACCACTTCGATTCCCACGGGATAGCATGCGGTAGTGGATTCTTTCACGCCGCCACTACTCGCTATGACGTTTCCTAAGGAAACAGTAGCATTATTCCGAGACTTTGCGCCAGTATTTCTGTGAAAATTTAAATATTCCCAGTCGAGTCGACTCGTTCATGCTGCAGACATATTCTCTATTTCGTTAATGCGTAGCGTCTACCAAGCTACATACCATAAGCGAAAGTCTGCGCTTAGTTGTGGGCAGTATCTAGACCCTAAATTGAATTCTTACTAATACATAAATAGTGTAAATTTACTGCTTTTCCTTTTTTATACTCATTTTTAACCCTTAAATATCTAAGCATTATATAATTAATTTTCTGTCTGTACCAAGCGATAGTATATAGTATACGTATACAAAGTATGAACCTGTTATTGATATTAGGCACTATTTAAGAATTTTTGTATATATTTATGGGTGTTTATGTTTGTGTACTGTTGGTTCTATGATCAATGGAGAAAAAAAATTATAAATGTATACTTTCATATTTAATCTCGAACAACTTACCTCTCTGCCTGTTTTTAGAATTCTTTCTCTGATCGCCGGGGCGTTGCTCGTGTGATTGATCGTCGGACCTGCCACCGACCATTGCTCTGTAGCGTCCGTCCGTCCTGTCGAGCAAAAAGACAAATGTGTATTCGATTTTCAGGCGTAAAAATTGAAGTTAAAAGAACAGAAGACAAGTGTACATTAATAAACAATACTTAAACACTCACGCCTCTAACTAAGAGGGTAGGCAGAGACCACGGACTTCCATTTGGCACAAACCTGACAAACCTCTCTCGCCTCCTTACCTTCTATACCTACGTGTATATGCTCGGCGATTAAGGGTACTCTGATTTGGCCCATCTTCAGTTATGATCATTTTCAATTTTTACACGGTAAAGCCATGTTGCAGTTATAGTAGTAGTATGGTTGTAGCATGAATGGGTCGGCTCGACCGGGGAAGGACCACGCTCTCACAGAATATCAGCTTAAAATAGCAGCGTAATGCTGCTGTGTTTCGTATGGCGAGTGTAGAGAACCAGCGACCCTTTTTACTGGAAACGAGGCGTTCCATCTTAGTCTTCACGGATGACAACGCATCTGCATTTTGATCCGTAACCGAGGATAGATGTAGATGGGCAACAGCAACCACTTACCATCAGGTGGACTGTGTGCTCGCTTGTTACCCTATCCTTCAAAAATGACAATATAATTTAAAAAAAAAAAAAAAAACAATACCTTATCTTTTAAAAAATGACACAAAATAAAATATAAAATATTTAAAAAAAAATTAAAAACACACAATAGGTTGTAGGCCTTCCTTTCTACCTAGAATTCTGTCAGGGTAGGTACCGCTTTCTCAAATACCCTCTTCTGTTCATCAGGTTAGATCCAGTATAATTACAGGATGCGAGGTATTATTATTATTTAAAACTGGCTGCAGGTGACAATAAACTGCAGACACTCACCATCAGGTCAACTGGCAGTTAGTTTGTCATTTGATATTTGTGAAAAAAAATTTAAATAACCCACCTGTCAGAAATCGAAGAGGACGGATCATCCAACACTTTATGCCGTTCGTGCTCTTCACTGGATGGCATCTCTCCAGGTTTAGGTTTGACTACTAAAGTTAAGTTGGCGCTGGATCTTCCAGCTACACACGTGTAGAGACCATGATCCCTAAGTGACAGAGATGTTATTCGAAGAGCACCCTAAAAACATAAATAAATGATATTCATTCTGCAAATACTAGGAACAGACACAAGCTAATAGTACCAGTTACTCGACTCCACCGAGTCAGTAATTCATTCTTGGGGCGATGTATACGCTTTTAAAATATACAAAATTTGACTTGCACAAAGTTCAAAAACGTTATTAAACTAAATTTGTAAAATTATTCTTATATTATGGAATTTATGGATGATATGATGAACCCTGGGAAGAATGATCGCTACCATGTTATTTCTAATTTGTTTTGCGTTGTTAATTGTAACATACATGATTGTCTGCCTCTGCGACTGCCTCGTTGATCTAGTGCGTTCGTTTGGGTTCGAATCCCGGGGCAGGCCAACAAAATCAATTATTGAGTTTTTCCGTCAAGAAATTCTCAGTAGCTGCGTAGAGTCAGGAAGTTGGCGGTGTCTCACCCTCGTGCCTCAGAAAGCACGTAAAGCCGTTGGTACTGCGCTGATCTCTCTCCGATCATGTCGGTTTCCGTCCCATCGGATTATGAGAGTGAGCGAATAGAGAGTGCACCTGTGCTTGCGCATACACTTGAGCACTATAATCCTGTCCTGCGCCGACGGCTAGCCTCCGTTGAGGCAGGCCGCCGTGGGCAAAATTCGGTCTGGAGAACATTATTACATGATTCTTAAGCATTATTTGTAAGCTGTTATATAAAAAATGGTGCCTCTGGGTTTCTTTCTGGTTCTTCCCAGGACAGAGGGATTTTCCGAACCAGTAGTAAATTTAAAAAAAAGTTACTTTCAATAAGTATTATTTATAATCCGTATTGAATAAAAAAGTTTTTGTTTCTGTTAAACAAACAAGCATAGATTAGTTTTGTGAAGATATTGAGCTGTCTGAGAAATTAAATATATATCAGATATATGTTAATATGTACCCATCCATCCGTTACAGCCTGTAAAAGTTCACTGCTGTACAGAGGCTTTACCCAAATGCTTTATAGGTGGAACTTCGCCACTGTTTTCAAGATTAGTAGGCTGATGTTTTGCAGTTTTGGATTGCAGTTTTTTATTTTTTTTAGTGCTGTCAGGAAGATGCTACTGCCTTTCTACTATTTCAGTTTCCCTCTGTCGCCTGTTACCACATCCAGACATTTGTATATACGGCTTACGGTTTAAGACATTTATTTCTCAAAAAGAACACAATTCACTTATCATGAGAAATAACAAGTTAAGAATTACATACTAAATACATGAAGTTATGAAGAACGACAGGTACTTGTAAATGATCTGTTAAGTAGTGGATGCGCACAATCTTATTACTTGTTGTGGGTAATAAGAAAAATAGGTGTACAATTACATATCGTTATTGAAAGAAAGTCTATGACAAAATCTCAATGTTCATATTTGCAAGCAATTCAGATGGTATTTTTAAGTAAATGGTTATATTTCGAATAATTGGTAAAATCAAATTAATTAAAGAAATAACATTAGCTTTTTAAATAAGTTATTGGTATTTAAAATCAAGAAAAATATTTTAAACTGCTTTAATGTTTTTTTTTGTATAACATAAAGGACTAGATCTCTTTTATGTTATTAGGCAATTTTAAATATAAATTATAATTAAATACAAATCATATAGTATATATATTTGGTATATACATACTATATGATTTGTATTTAATTTTATTCATAATGAGTATAATCTTAATATCCAATTTTCAAATCGGTTGGCAAAATAACTGTTTAAATTCGACAATTAGTTTTCATGTTACGGGCGGGCATAAAATAGTTTATGCATACTCGTATAAATAAAAGTGAATCTGTAGTAGTATAGTCTGTATTATTGAAATAATTGGCTTCTATTAAACTGCGGGAATTATTTGCATGCTATTAAGATAATTATTTTAAAAACTTGGCTGTCTGTCCGGGTTTATATTCGAAATGGCTGAATCGATTCTGATGAAACTGTACGAACCATAGAATACTATAATACATACATAATAGAACGGGGAAGTGGGTGGAGTAGTAGTAGTAGTACCCGCGTAGCCACTAAAATTTCACTAACACGTCAATTCACACGTATAACTGTCAACACAAGATGTGTTTTGACGTTACAATCGTTTCTAAATTTCGCATGCAAATTATTTAAAAAATGCCGAATTGCACGCTATTTACAAATAAATATGTATTAAAATTTAATGATGATCTTGAACATTAATCAAAATTCTAAAATGTCTAAATTTATTCAGTCTGTCAACACAGCGAATCGGGTTTGGCGACGCCAATCTTCGTATAAAATAAAGTTGACAGCCATTCTATTGCGTATTATAGTATTCTATGGTACGAACAGATAGAAAGCAAATAAGGAACTAGGCTATATTTTATTCGAAAAACTTGGCAATTTAAACAAAATATTGGTTAAATAAATGGTCTTTGACTATTTTAAATCTAAATAACGTTGTATTAATAGATCATTTTAAGGCAAATCCAAGGCGGTAGGCTAGTAGTAGTAGTATTAAATAATAAACTAACTAAACTTGTGTAGCCCCATTTTGGACCAGTCGGCTAAACACCACTCACCTTCTTTGAAATCTTATACTTTCTCGATTTTGTAATAATCTGGTGATCCTTTGCCCATTGTATCCTCGTTCTGTTGTATCCCTTGACAGGACATTTAATTTTCACTTGGGTCCCGTAGAAAATTGTCGCGGAGCCGCCAACCTTAACTGTTACCTGCAAGTGATATTTACTTTGTGATATCGATAACATTTAACATGAAATATATAAACTCTCACGCCTCTCGCCTCGAGGGTAGGCAGAGACTGCGAATTCAAATATTTTTAAGATTCTTAAAGACCCATAAAATAATGCTTTATGCGTAGAAGAGCCACGCTGCATCCATATTATAGTTGTAGCACGAATGGATCGGCTAAACGGAGTAACATCAAGCTCTCATAGAATACCAGCGTACAATAGCAGGGTAATGCTGTTGTGCTTCGTATAGTGGGTGTAGAGAACTGGAGACCTTATTACTCCTCAGGGATAACAACGCATCTGCATTTTGATTCTTAATTGCGGATAAATGTAGATGTCTATGGGCTCCAGCAGCATCCACTTACCATCAGATTGACTTTGTACTCGTATGTTACATCTCTTACGAAACCCATGCGACACATTATAAATGTTACCATTAGCAGGCCCAAATTGTAGGCGAATTTTTATCCGATTACGGAACTATAAAAAGGAGAGTCATATTTTATTCTTCCTTGAGACATTAGTTTTTATAATGTTTATTAAAGATTTTGTTATAAGGAGTCAAGATAATATTCCCTTGAATAATTTGTTAAAATAAGTTTTAACCGCTGTGTAATAATTTGAATTTAATTAATAAATTAATATATATTTTTAAATACTTTTTAATAGTTAACGTCAACAACTTACGTAGTGCATTTATAAAAGTGGCATGTATTATAAAATGCAAGCAATAAATTTATACGTGGTAGAGCCACGCTGCAGCTATATTATGGTTGTAGCGCGAATACTCTCACAGAATACCAGCGTAAAATACCAGCTTAATACTACTGTGTTTCGCATAGTGAGTGTAGAGATCCGGAGACCTTTTTTTACTGGAAACGAGGCATTCCATCTTAGTCCTCAGGCGACTCCCTTTTGATTCTTATTCAAGGATAAATGTAGATGTCTATGGGTCACAGCATCCACTTACCATCAGGTGGACTGTGTGCTCGTTTGTCACCCTTATTCTATAAAAAAGAAGTAGTATATTTTATCTTCAGTGACTAATAAATTAAAAACAATAAAATACAATACAGCCTTTCAAAAGTCCACTGTTGAAGATTGGCCTACCCCATCGATTATCTCTTAAAGGGATATTTGCCATAGTTGCCACGCTTGGCAAATGGATTGTGTTGTTATCAGGAAGGTACTGCTGCTCATCTTCTGGATCAGTTTCCCTCTGTCGTCTCTTACGACATCCACGGAATGATACGGGGTAGTGGATATTATTTCACAGCCACTACAAAGTTATGTTAAAATATTATCACATTAATATTACCTTCTTTTTCTTAGGATCATGTTGGATGTAGGAGGAGTTGGCCAAAGATATCTCCGGTGATGAAGTATCAAGCAGGCAAGGACGACTGTTACAGGACTTGGTTGATGCCGGTTTTGGGCTACTGCACAAGGAAGGTGGCCTTTCGACCACGTGTGACTGCGCCATAATTTGTTTACACTCCACCTGTTTTTTGCAAAATGAAACAAATCCCAACCTACCATACTCAGAATTCAGGATACTATAAGCTTAAGATTAACCTGTAGCGTCGATCAGGCGACACATGTGTATCAGACATAAACACCTACGCTCGCTCGATCGAGATACACATGTGTACCACAAGTAACAAAACCAAAGACATTATGCAATAGATAATAGTATCAACTACAAAGATATGCTCTTTTATTTTAAACCATAACCTGGCAATGTTTCTTAGAAAAAAAAAAAGAAATCACTCTGAACTTTCGGCGTTCCACATGTCGCTTTGATGAAGGTGTTCCGTCTTTTTTATAGAATTTTATATTTGTGTCTGGACGAAAAACGAAAGTATTGTACTTTTTTTATATTTCTTGTAATATAGTAAACACGTAGATATATAATTTGTGGTATAAAAAGTGAAAAGTAAATTGCCAAAAGTACTTCGAAATACGGAAGGCCCATTTTGGCGGTTGGGTCATAAATGTGGTATTTTTCCAATTCTCATTTATTTTTAGTGTATAATGTAAGTAAAAATAGTTTTCTTACATATTTCAAATAACTTGACGTTGTATTTATTTCAAATTCACACAAAAATATTTTTGAAATATTGTTCGAAATGTCATACAGATAAATATTATTATTTTTTTTTTAATTTTTTTATATTTTAATATTTTGGTATGATTAACGAATAGAAACACATAAAACATAAAAATATACATATTTCCAAACATTTTCATATAAATTTCTCCAAAAACAAAAGTGTAGAATTCAAATTAGTAGTAATTTTAGCAGGAAAAGTGAAGTATCTACTACTACTATGTTTTAAAGGTTAATTTATGAATTTTATTATAATTTCTAGCAACCAAAAATAGTTTTATTCGATAGTTTATACATTCAACAAGAATTTCTGTAAGTTTTATCCATAAATATTGTCTCAAAGTGAAAATATAGCAAAATTTGCAATATAGCAAAAAATTTGCTAATTTGCAAATTTTCCCGCCATTACGGTTCCGAGGGAACGGGAGTATAACATGTCGCGAGCTGTCTGACCTTACGGGTATGAAATACTAATAGTTAAAAAGATAATGGTAGCCTTCATAAACTATGATGGGAATTAAAAAAGTTAAAATTAAATGCGATATTAACTCTAAAATTAGATTTATTCCATACCTCTCTTTGTTTAACGCCTCCACCGCAGGTTTTGGAGCATTTCGACCATTCACCTGTATGCCATTTGACAGGACAGTCCAGCACATTGCAATACTGACGGTCCGGTGGCGGTGGTTGAGGGCACATGCTGTTTGGTACTACCACTGTGTTCGTACCACCACGTGTCACCTAAAACATAGGCAGAAATATAAACGATGAACTCTTATTTATAAATGTATATGTATATCGCAACCCGATGGTTTAATAAGCCAGATAGTCAGCAAAAGTACTATAGCTTAGTACTATTTTTATTCTGTGCCATAGACTTAATTAACCGCCCGTATTTATCCAGTAAATTTAAGCGAGAAAGTCTTGTATATATGTGTACACATATTATATTTGGTTTTTCGAAAAGGTCTCTAACGATATGGATAAAATTTTGAATTTAGATGACGTATTACTTTCAAAATTTATCTCGATAAGTTTCTTTACTAAGAAATTTTTTAACACCGTAATAAGCTCGGAAAGCCCAGTAACTTAATTAGCCAGCTTTTTGTACGAATTAAAATAGTGCATCATAACTTAAAGTTTGTACTGGCCGCGAGTCGGCTCTTTTAATACAGTTGAATCAATATACGCACAGAAGTGCTAAGAACTAATTACTTAAAAGCTTAATTAATTAAAGTATATTCAAGTGGTAATTTGTGATAACTATAACGGCGTGGATGCGACAAATTATGAAATGAAATAATATTTTAAACATAATTTTGAAACATCTAACAACTTCATGATTACTATCACTAACTTTAATAATATAGTTCAACTAAATGGCTACATATCGCCTAGCCTTTTTAAGCCTTACCTTCTGATATTTGAAAAAGTTTTCTTAACTCATTTAATTCGATGCCAGCGTTTACCTAAGTAGCTAATTAAGTAAATAACAGGCTTAATCTATCAAGTTAAGATTGCATATATCATCACCGGATGTACGAGTAAATGAGATAAAAATGAGATAATACGGAATTAGAAATCGGCATTAAATTGGACGCCTAGACCGTTCATTTTTCATTCAACGTCTAACGACTTGACTGGCTAAAAGCTCAAATTAAATGCGATATAAACTGTAAAATTAGATTTATTCCTCAAAACTGAAATAAAAAAGAAAGAAAAAGAAAACTAGATTCATACCTCAAAACGCTGAAATAAAAAGAGTGCCTCACGGGATTACGACAATCATTGGAATCTTGGCATAAAATAATTTAAAATGAAGTTAAAGACAAACTCCCGATCGTAACGTTTTTGAAATGCTTGTGGTTACGCGAAAATAATTTGTGTATTTTAATTTTGTTCGAGGGTATATTTGCCAAGTGTTTGTCCTTCCTTTAACCTCATGTCCCTTTCGTACACACTAAAAGGGAAAGGGGGGTGGGGGTGTAAAAGGTGACGCGATTCGCGATTTTGACCAATGCAACGCACGCCCCACCCTTTGGATACAAGCGGAAATCTACCTAGTAATATCAGCATATCTATTCATATACCGTCTGTTTGGTTAGATAGTGTCGGTACACCCATAGGCACTTATGTTTTTGATTTTATTTTTACTGTGTTTGTAATAAACGTTTTTCTATTCTAAGAATAAAATAGTATTTTATTCTTACGCTTATTGTAATAAAATACAAATATAAATAATATACATAAGTTTGGTAGCAAAGAGAATTTAAATGGAAATTATGAATTGTTAAACATAAAATAAAGTAAAATAGACAATATTATTCATCACTAAAAGTATCTGAGTCACTTGTATTTATTTCAAGGCAATCAACATTATCACATTTTGAATACATACTAAAATATAATTTTTGTTATTGGCTCACTTAAAATTTCATTTTGATGCACTTCACTGTCCTCCCAAGGATGAAAAAACATTTTCTATATACTTAGCAGAGTTAATAAAAACAACCTTTCCCTATATCGTATCGTTTTAAGATCCCAGAATTTCCTGCGGGTGTACGCCGCACGCGGCAACCTTTGATGTCGCGGCGGCCCCTTTGACAAAATACGGCACGTGTCAAGGCCGTGCGGTGCGACACAAAGGCGGCCGTATCTAAGCGAACAGACTATAAATAAAAATGGGCTTTTTTGTCTGCAATAGCAAAAAACTGCCTTTAATTGAACTCATGTGTTATTTGCATACCATTAAGACACGAAGAACCATTTTAAAATTTTATTAATTCTATCTTTCCGGGATAATCTTTGGAAAGGCTGAACAGGTTGTGATGAAACTTGACAAACAGATAGAGAGCAGTGCTAAGAGTAATCTAGGCTATATTTTATTCGAAAAGCTTTGAGATTCTTTCTTTTTAAAATCGAAAAGATAAAATAATTGGTCGTTGATGGTTATCTTAAAACTAAATGGTGTAATAAAAAAATGGCATTAATAGATCCCGACCAGGCGAAGTCTGCTAGTTTAAATATATTATTGGAGCGAAGCTCCCATCGCGGAAGAAAACGATTCTTTTATCTACTCCGTAACCCGTAGGCTAATTTACATATTTTTTTCGGCAATATTTGTAGCTCAACGCAGACAAGGTCTGTAAACAATATAAATCTGAATTTGATATTTTTTACTATCTAATCAATTCGATAATTTACATCTGCGTAAAGTCACACTATTTGATTGAATCTTTTGTTGAAATAAAGATAGTTATGACTTTAGACCTTTACTCCGCTTAGTTTATAATGCTAGGAAAAGGTTTTTACACCCTTGTATCTGCATCGGTCCTAGTTGAGTTCAACGTCTCTCTTAAATTATTGCTTTTAAAGTTACACCAACCAATGACCTAGGCTTCCAATTTAGTGTCTAACTGTTGTAACTGTGCACTTTGTTAATTTGACCATCTGGCGATGACACCTACATGACGTTAACAAACAATATTACTTACTTCGTGGATGCAAGTAACTTCTCTAGTTTGTATACCGATGCCGCACGTTTTTGTGCATTGTGAGAACTCCGTGTAATTCCATCTGTAAGGAAAATATGTCTGAGGTCTTTTTATACAAATTATAAGGTGTAGAGTCACGCTGCAGCTTTATTATGCCTGTAATACGAATAGGTTGACTTAACCGGGGAAGTACCATGTCCCCACTGAATACCAGCGTTTTTACGCCGCAGTTTAGCAGTTTTATGCAGCTGTGTTTTGTAAGGTGAGTATAGGTAACCGGAAATCCTTTTAAACTGGAAATAAAGAATTTCATTTTAGTAATCAAGGGTGATAGCGCATCTACATTTATATTCTCATTTGAGAATAGATATAGATGTTTATCTGTATTACTGTATCTAGGACCAGGATCAGGATAGATAAGGATAGCCTTACGAATGTTTTTGCATGTAGTTGTAAGTATTCCTCTTCAATACTAATAACTTTCATATAATTGTTGGTTCATACATGGTTGGTCGTCTAGTCATAATTTGCTGATCGTGCAACAAGATGCACCTGTCACTTTCATAGAAAATGCTAGTGCAGCGTCGTTTTTCCGAAGTAGTGGTAAATCTTAAATGATTTTCAGTGTATATTCTTGCAATTTATATTGAATAAAAATGATCCCATTCTATTGGAAACCACTAACCTGGGTGGACAAGGGTGATCGTTACACGTCCTAACTCTGTTCTCCGGTTTGGTAAGCGGGTCGCACATATATGGAGACGCATTCTTGCCGTCTTCATCCCTTACACATTGGATGATCAGCTCCTAAATAAAACAGAACAGTACTTTTGTTACAAGCATAAAAAAGAAATGAGTTCGGTGTTCACTGTTCATATATATATATATATATATATATATATATATATATATATATATATATATATATATAATATCCTCCAAATCGAATTTCGACCACGGCGGCCTGCCTCAAAGGAGACTAGCCATCGGCGCATGACAGGATTATAGTGCCCAAGTGTATGCGCAAGCACAGGTCATAATCCTATTCGATCACTCTCATAGTCATGGGACGGTAAACTGACACGACTGGGAGAGAGGCGAGGGATCAGGCCCACCACCAACGGGTTTAAGTGCTTTCCGAGGCACGGGGGTGAGACACCGCCAACTTCCTGACTCCGTGCAGCTACTGAGAATTTCTTGACAAAAAAACTCAACTCACTTTTTTTGGCCCGACCCGGGGTTCGAACCCGGGACCTCTATAAATATATATGATCTATAAATATATAAAATTAATATAAATAAAACGCGATAAAATCCGTAAAAGTAGTTTTAATCAATGTATAGTGTTCGCGTAAATATAAGAAATCATTATATATATAAATTCATTAATTTCAGACAACAAAGGTCCATGGGTTAGTATTACAAGTAATGCTTATAAATTGTTAGTATTTTGAAAACATTTAAGTGAAATTATAAATAAAATAAAATAAAATAAAATCTCTTTTTTTCGGACAAACATCCATAATTGTTAGCTATGTTTGTAACAATTAAGTGCAGACATGAATAATTAGTTTAAATACTAACCAGGCCTACCCGAGGCACTAGGTTTATGCACATGCATATTCACTCAGTGTCCCATAATACGACAATCTGGTTTGCCAGTAATAGCCCTCAGTATGGTGTTGGAGCTACCACGTATTCTACGCATGAGCGAGGCTCGTTTGCGCAACACCGTTTCGAAGCTATCAGTGCGCGCTTTGCTCATACATGCCCGATGCGCTGCAAAATCGCGGCAGACCCAACATCACCCTGAAGGCATTATTATACTGTACTCGGAGTGCACTGAAAGCCCCCCGCGTATAATCAACCCACAGATTACACGTGTACATTATTTGGCAGAAGCCTTTAAACAATGCTATTTTAACTTCTGTGGTACATCGTGAAAATCTGCGGGCTAACATATTGCAGCGGAATGCCAACGCTCTCCTTTCCCTCTCCATATCACAGTCATCCCTCAGCCTCTCGTTCACAATATGACCGAGATACTTGAAGGACGATACGCTACTCCGTTTAGGTACACTGGCGGAACATTAAGAGCTCTGCGACTGTCTGTCTTCATATATATATATATATATATATAGACTATGCAGCAGTCCACTGCTGGACATAGACCTCTCCCAAGGCGCGCCACTTAGCCCGATCTTCGGCTACACGCATCCAGTTTCTACCAGCCACCTTGCGACCTTGCGCAGATCGTCGCTCCATCTGGTCAGGGGGCGTCCCACACTACGTTTGCCTAGACGTGGTCTCCACTCCATAACACGTCTACTCCACCGGTTGTCACCTCTGCGGCCGATATGACCAGCCCATTGCCACTTCAGCTTAGAAACACGGAAAGCTATTTCAGTAACCTTGGTTCTCCGGCGGATTTCTTCATTTCGAATTTTGTGCACCAGAGAAACTCCGAGCATATCTCTTTCCATTGCTTGCTGAGCGACTTTAAGCTTTTGGAACAGACGTACCGTCAGTGTCCACGTTCCGGCACCATAAGTGAGTACGGGCAGAACGCACTGGTGTAAGACTTTTGTCTTTAGACTTTGCAGTACGTGCGACGTGAAAACCCGACGGAGCTTTCTAAATGCTGCCCAGCCCAACTGAATCCTCCGATCGGCTTCTTTCTCGAAGTTATTCTTACCTAGTTGCAATATCTGCCGGAGATAGGTATATTCCTGGACAACTTCGAGAATTTCACCATCAACAGTAATTGGAACTGGCATGACGTAATTGTTGAACATAACTTTTGTCTTGTTCAGATTCATACACAGACCAACACGTTGGGAGGATTCATTTAGTCTGTTCAGCATATCCTGAAGTTCCTGCAGCGATTCTGCCATGACGACGATATCATCAGCAAAGCGTAAGTGTGAGATGTACTCACCGTTTACGTTAATACCGCGTTCTTTCCAGTCTAACGTCTTAAAAACATTTTCCAGTGTATTTGTAAACACTTTAGGGGATATAACATCCCCCTGTCTCACTCCGCAATGCAACTGGATTGGTTTTGTTTGACTGTCCTGTACTTGGATGGACATCGTACTGGTGTTGTGAATCTCAGCACTTCGATGTACCGCCAGTCAATTTGGCACGGCTGCAAAGAATCTGGAACAGCCCAAGTTTCAATAGAGTCAAAGGCTTTCTCATGGTCCACAAATGCAAGACACAGGGGCTGATTATACTCTGTTGTCTTCTGTATTATTTGCCGCACTGTGTGAATGTAGTCTATAGTCCCAAATCCTCCTCGAAACCCAGCCTGTTCCGCAGGCTGAAAGCCGTCGAGTCTTTGCGCGAGTCGATTCGTGATGACCCGAGAAAACAACTTATAGGCGTGGCTCAGAAGCGAGATGGGTCGATAATTTTTTAGCATAGTCTTGTCATCTTTCTTGTGAAACAAGACTGTAATGCTTTTGCTCCATGCCTTTGGAGTTCTCCCATCTCGTAAAATGCAGTTAAAAACTCGACAGAGCTCTTTTAGCAAGGGTTGACTCCCAGCTTTTAAGAGCTCTGTTGTAACTCCATCTTCTCCAGGGGCTTTTCCATTTTTAAGTTGACCGAGGGCCAGCTCAATCTCCCCAAGGCAGATGTCTGGCAGCTCGTCGGTATAGCGGTGGCGGGTCAGCGTGGCTCTGGGATCATCGCATTTAGAGTCAGGTTGTGACTTATGTGAGGCATATAATTTGCCATAATAGTATTCGATCTCAGAGAGAACCTCAGGCTTTGAAGTGAGCACTTTGCCATCATGCGTCTGGAGTTTTGTGATGTGACTTCTTCCAAGCTCCCGAACAAAGATTTTGGATCCCTTGTTTCGCTCTATTTCCGCTTGTATAGCAATTGCATTAGAGCGACGCAGATAATTATATATATATATATATATATATATATATATATATATATATCTAATCCTGAGTTGTGTTTAAGGATTAAGTGTCAAGCTCATCGGGAAATTAGTTAAAAATCTTGGTCAAATATGTTTCCATAGCTGTGTTACGATACGAAGTATATTAAAATTTTAAGTGTATTTATAGGTCTTAAGAATAATTACAGGCTATGAGGCTACCGTGTAGTATGCAGTGTAGTGGCGGTTGAGAATATCCACTACCCCATATCTTCCCGTGGGTGTCGTAAGAGGCGACAGAGGGCGACACAGAAAGGAGAGGGGCAGCAGCATCTTCCTAATAACAAGAATAACATAATAAAAAACTGCGGTTGCCAACCCGCTCGCCAAGCGTGGCAACTATGGGAAAATCCTCGAGTCCGGCAACTTGTTCTAACACCGGGATTGCGACCATCTGTCCCAAGGAGGTGTCGGATTTTTCGTCCACAAGTCTCTCGTGAACAACGTTGTAAAGATTGGGAGTGTGTCGACGAGGGTCGCGTACCTGATACTCCAAATCACCAATCGGTATTCGCTGAAGGTCGTACAGGTCTACGCACCAACCTTGGCACATCCCGAAGAGGAGGTGGAGGAAATTTATGAGGATATTTCTAGAGCCATGCGTTCCTCCAAAACCCACTACACGGTGTTGATGGGAGACTTGAACGCAAAACTAGGCACAAGAGGAGGCGGTGAGCTGAAGTTAGGGAAATTTGGAGTAGGGCAACGGAACCGTAGGGGCCAGCAGCTGGCCGACTTTATGGAGAAAGAGGGACTCTTTATGATGAACTCTTTCTTCCAGAAGCGGTCCCACAGGAAGTGGACCTGGTCAAGCCCCGATAGTTCGACAAAAAATGAGATTGACTTCATTATGACGACCAGACGCCAACTATTCAGTGATGTCTCAGTGAACGCAAGAGTGAAAACCGGCAGCGATCACCGAATGGTTAGAGGCACACTGAACCTAAACGTTAAGTTGGAGAGGTCTCGTCTAATGAAGTCAACGCTCCGTCCCGCTCGTGCTCTAATCCAGAATCCCGAAACCTTTCAGCTCGAGTTACGTAACTGCTTTCAGTGCCTAGAAGATTGCAATGCAGTGGACGATATGAATGACAAGCTCGTGGAAACTGTCCATGCGGTCGGAGCTAAGTTCTGCAAGACCCGCCGCAGAAGAACACAAAAACTCTCCGATCACACTCTTAATCTCATGGCTGTTAGACGGGAGATGAAACTTCAATCGTCAACAGATTTGACAGCATACAGGCAACTGAACAGACAGATCTCCAAATGCATGCGGCGAGACTTACGCAACTTTAATACTACTCGTATTAAAGAAGCGATCGATCGGAACCAGGGCTCCAAAGTCTTTGACAGAGATCTGTCTGCCAGAAAGAGCCAACTGTCAAAGCTGAAGACCGAGTGTGGCAGCATCGTTTCCGGGACACCTGAGATTTTGAGTGAGATTGAGAGGTTCTATGGGCAGCTGTACAAATCATCGTTGGAGCCACACGTAAGTGTGAGCAACGATTCAAGAGCAAGTCTTACCCGACACTACTCCGATGATATCCCGGACGTCAGTCTGAGCGAGATTAGAATGGTTCTCCAGCACCTTAAAAACGGCAGGGCCCCAGGCGAGGATGGAATTACAGCGGAGCTTCTGAAAGCGGGTGGAACACCGGTACTTGAAGTCCTTCAGAAGCTCTTCAATTCCGTCCTCCATGGTGGCACTACTCCGGAGGCGTGGAGCAGAAGTGCGGTGGTCTTGTTCTTTGTTTCTTGTTGAAAGGCGACAACGCTCTCTTGAAGAACTACAGACCGATTTCCCTTCTGAGCCGCGTCTACGTGCTGTTTTCGAGAGTCATTACGAATCGTCTCGCACGCAGACTCGACGATTTCCAGCCTCCCGAACAAGCCGGTTTCCGAAAAGGCTTCAGTACCATAGACCACATACATACCCTGCGGCAGATTGTACAGAAGACGAAGAGTACAATCTGCCACTTTGCCTGGCGTATGTGGACTATGAGAAAGCCTTTGATTCCATCGAAATTTGGGCGGTGCTACAGTCCCTTCAGCGGTGCCAAGTTGACAGTCGGTATATCGAAGTGCTGAAGTATTTGTACAGTAGGTTTACGATGGCTATCCGAGTACAGAACCAGAGTTCGAAACCTATCCAACTGCAGAGAGGTGTAAGACAGGGTGTCGTTATATCCCCGAAAGTCTTCACCGCTGCGTTGGAAGACGTTTTCAAGCTACTGAACTGGAAAGGATACGGTATTAAGCACAATGGCGAGTACATCATTCACCTTCGATTTTCCGACGATATAGTCCTTATGGCAGAATCGCTGGAGGACCTTAGCACTATGTTCAATGACCTCAATAGTGTCTCCCAACGGATAGGTCTTAAGATGATCATGGACAAAACAAAGATCATGTTTAATGTCCATGTCACACCTATGCCGGTAGTTGTTGGGAGCACTATGCTCGAAGTTGTTGACGAGTACGTTTACCTGGGACAAATAGTTCGACTAGGTAAGTCCAACTTCGACCGAGAGGTTAATCGACGGATTCAACTCGGCTGGGCAGCGTTCGGGAAATTACGACACATCTTCTCGTCAGGTATACCTCAATCTCTGAAAACTAAAGTGTACAACCAGTGCGTGTTGCCAGTGATGACTTACGGATCTGAGTGGTCGTGGTCTTTCCCTGCTGGCCATATAAGGACGCTCAAGGTCGCTCAGCGAGCTATGGAGAGGGCTATGCTTGGAGTTACTCTATATGGTAGACTCAGAAATGAAGATATCCGCAGTAAAACTAGAGTGACCGATATAGCCCAACGGATTAGTAAGCTGAAGTGGCAATGGGCCGACCATATAGCTCGAAGAACCGATAACCGATGGGGAAGAAAGGTTCTCGAGCGGCAGCCTCGTACCGGTAGGCGTAGTGTAGGCCCCCCCACTAGATAGAGTGACGACCTAGTAAGACATGCAGGAAGTCGATGGATGCTGGTGGCTCAGGACCGTGCTTTGTGGCGTTACTTGGGGGAGGCCTACGTTCAGCAGTGGACTTGTGAAGGGCTTTAATGATGATGATGATGATTAGGCTACATCTTAGTCCTCAGAGCTGACAACGCATCTGTAGGATTTCGTGTTTGAAATGAGCTTAAGGCAGATTGTAAGTTTGTTTGATTAAAAAAAAAGACATTGTTTCGTAAAAATTATTATAGTTTATTGGACGTAAAATTTAAATAAAGAGTTGAAAAACTCTTTCAAATTCAAATTGTTTATTGCTTGTCACATTACAAGTGTAAGATGCAAGGAGGTTATAAATAAATATATAGTAAGATGACACAATTTTGATAGGTATACATGTGACGCCCTGCAAGGGCATAGCAACACTAAAGGGCTAATTATTTTGGTATTGTCTAACTTTTAAAAATAAGTTATAAAATATCTTATCATAAACATTCAATATTATTTAATATAAATAGGTTTAATATGAATTATTATGTTATTATGTATACTATTATTATGTTATTAATAAACCGGCTAATAATCCATCTAATCCAATGGTAAATCAATCTAATAGTAAGCGACTTGTGCAAACTATAAACATTTGAGACCAAGTACAAGGCCCCATGAGCTTTTTCACTCTTGAAGATTATAATAAAATCAGCCTGTTTTACCGGTTTCCTGGTTCTTTAAAATGGAACACAGTGGTAGGTTGTCAGTTTTTTGGTAGTAAATGAATAGATACATAAGAGAGCGGTACGAATACATTACGGCTCCAAGGTAAAAATGAGCTCTACAATCTATTATTACAGGTTTACTTACCTGAACACCACTTAGACACGAAGCGCTGCAGCTTGTGTATCCTTTTTCTTTCCAGGAGTAGGATTTTCCAGGTGATCCTGGTGCCACTCGAATGTTACTTGAAGTTCCAAAAACTAAAGATCTGTTGATTGAAAAAATGAGTTTATGCAAACTGAAGAATATATTATATCTTTTTAGGAAGTTATCTGTTACATTAGATAAAAAAATGGTTGATGAGGTTTGGTGTGATGAGCGCTACTGTTTCGATTACCGTTCGGTGCGTCTTTGTATGGCCTACAAATAATTGTTCTGGGTCTTGATGTTATGTTTGTCTTTGTGCAATTTATGTAAGTAAACCGTCTTAACGATATAAGAGGAAAACTTTGTGTGACAGTAATTTTTTTTTGAGAACCAAAAAAAGTTGAGAACCAAAAAAAATCGTCAAGCGCACGCGCGTTTCAGTTACCGATGTTGTATACTCAAGGAATATAGAAAGATTAAGGCGACACCGCGAAAAAATGCATCTCCTTTCATCGAATAGTATAGGACTACGACACCACTAACGAAAGTGGAATTTTGATACAGGTAAATTCATGTCTTTATCTTGAATTTGATTGTTCAAAAACACGATTGTATAATTTTGACTCGATCATAATTATTTCCGAAAACACCTCTAAAAAATCACTATAGTTGAAATTACAACGAAATTACTTAATCTATATGCTTGGGAATCACTCAAATATATTATTCATAACATCAACATTCATAATTTACTTGCTCATTATTTTGATTACTTAAATCAATAATTTTATAAAAATATTTTAAGATTCTGACAATTTCTAAGCGGTGTTATTCGTCGCGGGCGCTAAGCAATTTTAGACCTTATGACGGCGTTTTTTCAAGTTTTTATAGAAATTATGTATTCACTGGAATCAGTACGGCGATAGCCTTTAATCAATTTTTCGATGTGTCTTAAGCTGTAATTTTACCTTAAAATACTAAGAAAGCGTGGTCCTATTGTGATGAAGCCGACCTATTCGTGTGGCAAACCTTTATATTCTAACACTTAAAGTACGAAATCATACAAATTATTAATATTTTTTCAAACATTTTGCAGCAAGTCTTAATTAATCCTGGATAAAGTATGAAGGTAAGGTCGATCTCATAAAATTATACGAAGAACATTTACATAAAATACGTTACATATAGGAAATTATTTCATTCAATCGTAATATGCGTAATCAAAACACAAAAGTATTAACATAATAAAATAACCAACTCTCTTTGTAGTAATAACTAGTTACGGAAATAAACGGTTTCGTAAACTACTTACACATTTCCCGAAACTACTAAAACCGCTTAAGCACAAAAGACGTTACGCGTGGGTCGGTTAAAATATGTATATAGTAATGACAAATTTTAGCAGAAATAAATCGTTTATTTAAACAAAGTTTATACAAACTAAATTTTTTATGTATGGAACAAAGAGCTTTTAAGGTATATGTCGCAGCAAACTAGATTAATAAGTCTTTCAGATAACAGCCTAGCTTTTTTACTAAACGGCACCGTTCAACTAGTGGCCTCAGTAACAGTAGGTTAAGGTGCGGCTGGAGTGGCCCATTGGGCAACCCTAAAACTGCGTACATTTATATAATATAGCAATATAAATGTACACGGCTTTAGGGTGGTCCAAGGGCCACCCCAGCTGCACCTTAACCTACTGTCACAGACATTACAAATTAGGTGCAATATTGTATTAGATCTATCGGCTGAATATCATTCAGATCATTACATTGAACGGCGATATTTAGTATGGCTGGACTGTCAACTGAAAGGCTATTTAGGTAAATTGACTGCGACATATACACATGGCATTAAAGTAATTTATACAACAGATTATGGAATTAAGATAGCGTATGTTCGAATCATACTATATTTATAGATAGGTAGATAGTTTCTTTTTTTCGAAAAGAGAGAAAGTCTTTGTTTCAAATCCACTATATAACTAGGGATGATATTTCAATCGTTATCAAGCAATCGAACTATTTTATTAATTCAAATCCTTAAAATTTTTATGTTGTATTTTATTCTATGAATAAATCTATGTTTGATATTTTTCGATGTTCGTTATATGATTGGTATATATATATATATATATATATATATATATATATATATATATATATATATATATATATTACTTACTACTTATCTCACTCCTGTTTGGTTTTTAGGACAATGAAGTGTCCGCCGCGCTGCCCTAATCCGTGTTTGCGGACCTCATATGTCTTCGAAATATTATTTTTCTTTACCGACAAGCATGTGATAAATCAGCACTTAAAATTGCATTAACAATTTCATTGGTATCGGCGGGGATCGAACAAGGGTTACTCACGTACTGTGAAATTCACAGTAAGCGTTAAGCCTCCGAGCTACGACGACTCACGTTAACGGACGATTGTAAAAACAGCCCTTTAATAGATTAAAATTTTGTGGGGTGGCAGTGCGCTGTTAGTGTTTGTAGCCCTTTTTCATTTCCTCCGTTGTAAAAGGGGTTGAACATGCCAACTTCTTCTCCAAGTATTAAAGTCAAACAATACATTACTTTAAATTTTTCCATCAATCGTCAATCTCCTTATTATATAAGATAGCTGATACCCGCTCGCTTCGCTGGGCGCACGGATGTAAAAAATCAAGAATGCTTTTTTATTCGACGATCGTAAAATTCGTTTTTGAGCGTCTATATATTGCATCTATAAATGAGTAACTATACTAAATTTCAAGTCAATCAAGGGTATAGTTTTTAGAAATATCATGATGAGTCAGTCAGTCAGTCATTGGCATTTAACTAATGTTTGTTTTTTCGTAATTTATGCGCTACCAAACCGTTCATAATATTGCGGTAAAACGGTTATAGGCATAGTACAATTAACATATTATATGTACTATGCCTATCGTGATGCGAGTAGTGCGAGTTACAATTTATATAGAGAGACAATTTATTTCAAACTTATAGATAATTCCTAACTTAACAATATTACTTCCTTCCTTCCAAATTTTAAACAATATTTCCACAATTATTTCTTTTGCGGCAGCAACGCGCCGGGTATCAGCTAGTGTTATATAAAAATGGATTTAAAATAATAAAAGTCAAGCTGTTCATTAGCAGGACTACGATTTAAATGAGTAGTATAAATAACATGTTGGTGCTTTTAAATTATAGCAAATAAATACACAAAAAGTAATGTTACCATAAAGCATAGCATCAAATATATTAATTATTATTTCTATTCTTAGACATCGACAGTTTCTGTGCATTAAATAAATGCCACCGTATCTATCATTTATACCAATAGACAAAAAAGTTTCGTCCCAAATAATTTTGTTTTTGTGTAACGTGCACCCGATCAAGTGCGAATATTACTGGCAATTTATATTACCTTCTGTTTCGAATGCCTTTGTCAGGCGTAGTCTGTAATGACGTTTACGATAATATTTCAATTAGAGTTATTTCGCCTTTAGCTTATATATTATATTTGTAATGTTAAGCTTCACAATCAATTTTTATTCGTCTTATTTGTGGTAGAGTCATGCTGCAGCTATATTATGATCGTAGCACGAGAGGGTCGGCCCAACCGGGGAATCCATGCTTTTGCAGGATACTGGCTAAAATAACAGCTTAATGCTGCTGTGTTTCTTATTGTGTATTAGTCATTATTGTATACGCTGTATGAGTGAAGAAACACGGATACCATTTTTTAATGAAAACGAGGCATTCCATCTTAGGACTTAGGGTTGACAAGGCGTATGTATTTTGATTCTTAATCGAGGATAGGTGTGGAATCTAGATGTTTATGAGCCACAGTGTTCACTTACAATCAGGTGGACTGTGTGCTCGTTTGTCATTATATTCTATAAAAAAATAAAAAAAATCCGATGTGCAATCATTATCAATAATCAATTTGTTTATCTTTATAAATAGGAGGATTAATGTAGAATGTAGATGTTTATCAGTATCCACTTACCATCAGGTCGACTGTGTGCTCATTTTTTATTATATTCTATAAAAAATCCGATGTGCAAACATCACGGCTGGATTGATTTTGATGAAATGTTGCGTATGTGATTAAGTTGATTCGAGAATTTATTAGAGAATTAATTTAGATTCACAGTTTGTCCCGGCGCTGTTGTCGAGGTCCAGAAATTACCCAATGTGTTTATAAGAATATTCCATTTTGGGCTAATACCTAATTGATTCATTAAATAGGTGCATGATTTTTTTAATAAAGTGAGTTATTAAAAATTCATGCACTTATTTAATGAATCAATTATTAGACCCAACCTAACGTATTTCATGTAGTGACGGCGTGATAGGATCAATCTCATTTCGTCCCGTATATGTCGTAAGATTATATTATAGACCTTCGATAGATTTTAATTAGCCATCTCGTTTAGTTCTGACGTAAAATGGCCAGACGGGCGACAGACTACAGCATTAAAGTTGCGAGACGTCTGACATCGAGACTGTCAATTCACCCGTCATTACGATAGATGAAAATCCTTCCTATGACGGGAGAAATTCATAATTTGCAGTTGACCGACGTGACGGGCTGATTAAGAACAAAACCCTGTATTATGTAGCTTTAAAAGAAGAGGCGAGGTAGTTCCAACACAAGTATTTTTAACTTACTGGAGCTACCTCAATTTATGTAATGCGTGACTATGTTTTGAAAAACAATAATAAAAGCATCAAACTCGCATGACCGTCACGCTCTGATACATGTATACAGATGAAACCACACACACACACACACACACACACACACACACACACACACACACATATATATATATATATATATATATATATATATATATACGAATAGTTTTTTAATACCTTTACTGCTACTAACAAATATAACTCAATAACGTCGACATAATTTAAGTAATGCTGCTTCTTTGTTCCGTAAAATATGGACATGGATGTCTGTTGTATAAACTTTCAGGTTATCTATATATTATTTATTTTATATATTTACGTAAAGACTAATTATTCATTTCTAAAATATACAAAAAAATTAAATATTTCAAATCATTGAATAATCGGGTCACTAGAAAGGAATGAATAACATACGTCTAGCTATTAACCAAGACCTGATGAGTCTTAATGTGTGATTAAACAAATAAAGTTGCATTTTTTTACACGTTATACCCACACTAGGACTTTTCGCATCGTGGAGGTAGTTTACAAACATGTACTGCACAATGACAAATTTCCAGACCCGACACAATTATTTGTAGGCTATGCAAATACTTGTGCTACGCGGGATTCGAACCCGCGGTCTTCAACGCCGCAACTCAACGCTAAGGTACTGCGCCAGGGAACTATAAGTCAACTGAAATTTTATAATAATTTGCAATAATTAAGTAGCATTGAGTTTGCATTTAGTCGTTTTTTTCTATGCTGTTTTTTGACCAAAAATAATGAATTTATAGTTATAACAAAATAGCTTACCTGTCTCCCGTACCATATGAAGGAATACTAGAATCTCCAAACGATGACCCATAGGCCATTGAGCACGGCTCCATAACGCATCTTTCAGTTTCTTCTGTAGGTTTAGGTCCCATACATTTACTATCTGGTAACTTTGCAATAGTTCTGCTAAATTCTAAAAAAATTTTGCAGTGAACCTCCTTCTTCCTCCATCCTTCACCACACGTAGCGCTGCATGGACCCCAGTCATCATCTTTGATGTAACTAAAAATTATACACATGCAATATTAACTAAATTTAAAACACAAAATAAGTACTAACTTACAAACGAACTCTATGAGATAGAAAATATTTTAAAATTAAAATGCGTTTAGAAATATTTACTAAGTATGATTTTAAATTAAACGGACAGAAAGTTAAATTCTATTTCATCATCATTCATAGCAAGAGACTAATCAATTCTATGGAAGTTTCACACATGATTTTGTATACATGCGGGTGCTCGGGATGTAACAGGATTGATCTCAGATCTATTAAGAAATTACATCTCATCAGTTCTGGCTGGTATATGTAGAAGTATGTGCACCAGTGTGATTCTGTATAATTTTGTACTGATTGCCAATTTACAGTTTTAACTTGTGGGCTTAAAGCCAAATTCAACCTTATGCCTTTTAAGTTAACGGGGTAAATACACTCCGTGAGTCGAAATTTTGGAGAAATATGTTGTTATGTTTCTGTAAATGCCAGAAATGTCCAGTTTTGTATCGTAAGAGTATAACGAAGCAAAGAACAAAGAAATAACACAATGTGTGCAGTCAGTGAAAAGAATGTGCAAGGAAATCCAAACCTTACTGTGCAGTGCAAAGAGTAGAAATTAGAATTGTAAAATGGAAAAGTTGTAGAAAGCAATGATTTATTACAGGCAAATGATTTTAAAGTAACATGTGTTAAATTTAAAAAACGTTGTGCATACGAATTTTTTGTAAATCGTAATATAATTTCATTTTATTTCCACCGTTTTACTTTTTCCATTTACCCTATACATGGCAGTAGTATTAATTATTACATATAAATTCATAAACTTTAGTACATATACATACTGCTAGTGCGAAGTTACATTCATATTTTGTGTCAATAACAGCTGCTAACAAAGAATTTATAGTTCAAAAAGTGTTTCTGTTTTCAAAGAGAACTTGACAGTTACAGACACTTTTTAAACTAGCGTTAGTTTCATGAAAGAAGTCTAGCTATATTGGTAAATAGGTGAACTGAAATGTAAAGTAAGAATTTTGACAGCAGATGTCAAATTTTATAAAGACAGGTGGCTCTGAGATCGAAATACTTCCTTCGTGAAACAGATTTTACTCGTATATATACCGCGTTCTAGATCTAAGAAAAAGAAATGGGCCAGCGGGCGTTGGATTGTGTACAATGGAAGGGTATTGTCATTCATTGTTATAAAATGTGTGATGTTATTCTGAATTTAAAAGTGAAATTGTTAAACTTGCAGTTTTAGGTACAATACCTTACATACAACCAGCCACACGCAAAGAATATTTTGTAATTGCTGAAAGAAACAACAACAAAATACTCTGAGCTTTTTACAAACAGGGGAGACTAACACATGTTAAATAGATATTCATATATTTCAAATATGTCTGGCTGAGGACAGTTTCACAAACCATGCAGTTACAAATAAAAATAATAAAATTATTTGTTCAATTCCATTGGATAAAAAATCCAATAATAGTTGTATACGTCTTGAAACATATTAAGTATATAAAACATATGATAAATTCTAGTATGTTATTAAATAACACAACTTCATGTAAGTTAAAGCGATTAAATATTGGATAACTTTAAATATGTGTAATATGTTCACAAAAATTAGTATAATTATATGAAATAACAATAATTAAACATCTAATTACCTACAATTTAAATTATTGAAATTTACGTAGAAACACTATTAATACATGTAGTATTCAACAAATTTCATTTGAAAATGTGTATAGTCTATATGAAGTTTTCTGTCTTTTTAAAACAATAATAACATTCTGTAAACTAATAATAATAGTTACACTATTACATAATAATATATAGTCTATGTTAGAATAATCTGTGAGGTCGTTTTACTTACGTAGCCTCAACGGGAAGATCAGGTTCCCCAATTAACCTTTCGGCTTTAGCCGGAGGCGGAGGATATGGTTGAATAAGTGGCTGCGTATGATATACGACACCTGGTAGCAAATCTTCTATATCATCCTGTAAAATTATTTATATTTAAAAATAATGATAATATATTACGTGGAAGAGACATGCTACGGCTATATTATAGTTCTAGCAAAATTGAGTCGGCTCGAACTGGGAAAAACCACGCTCACAGAATATACAATTTCTCTCTATTACCAAGTTTAAATATTTAATTAAACAAAAACTGTATAACAAGCGTTATTATGATATAAATGAATACATGGTTGATAATAGCCCCTGGGAATGAGGTGGTCGCTTCCAAGCTGTTTCTAAAATACATTTTTGTAAATATTCTGTAACCCTTGACACTGTAAAATTTATTTAAAAAAATCCCGCTGGGTTTCTTGCTGGTTCTTCCCAGGACAGAGGCTTTTATTCGAACCAGTGGTAACGTGAAATATTGACTTTCAATAAGAATTACTTATAATCTGTATTGAATAAATAATTATTCTATTCTTTTCTATTCTATTCTATTCTAATACCAGCGTGAAATAGGTAGCTTAAGGGGAAATATAACCTGAAATGGCTTAGCAAGATCCTCCGTTATGCCGAAAGTATTGTAGCATTAATTTTGAAATAAATATATGGTAAAGTTGAGGATTAATGTTAAAGATTATGTTAGACGAAAACACGATTTCGTAAAATTTTCTCGATAGAAAAAAAATCCAAAGTTACCTCCAAACTGAACAATAAACCGCTGTTATTCATAAAATACTTTTAATAAGATCATGAAACTTTGCATACTAACTGAACTAACTATAAAGCAGTGCTTATGTTATTTACTTTTTTTTAAATACCATTATTTTCACTGTAAAAAGAAATTACCTAAACTATGAGCGCCCTGAAGCTTGAACAGGCATAAATATGATTAACCTAATGAAATAAGTATCTAACGACCTATCTACTTACAGTATTAGTGATTACAAACATGTTGGTACATAGCATACGACGCGCGGGGAAGTGGGGGCGAAATTAGAATTTGAGCTGACTTACTATATCCTCTTAATGTTGTTTCGTATGGTGAGTTTAGAGAAACGGAGATCCTTTTTTATTGAAAACGAGGCACTTCAACTTGGTCCTCAGGAATGATAACGAATGTGTATTTCGATTTTTAAATGTAGATGTCTATGGGCCACAACGTTCACTTACCATCTCGTGAATTGTGTGCTCGTTTCTCATATTAATTTCATAAAAATATTGCTCAGCAAAAGGAATTAGTGATTTAACAGTAATTTAATTTATGTATTTGATATTTGATGTCTATATTTTTTCTTTTTTTTTTCTTTGGTGTTTTTGTTAAAGAATAAGGGCGACCAGCGAGCGTACAGCCCACCTGATGGAAAATCTGTTTTATATACTATTATATTTTCTGCATTAAAACTATAAGAGTGTAATTTGCTGAATAAATGCATGTCTATGTTTATGTCTAAAATGTTTATCAAAGTTTTTCCCACTTCATTAGAATGTAATGACTTAAAACATCCGCCAATCAGTTTAACACTTATTTGCTTTAAATTAACTTTTACTTTAAAACGCGCACGCATACTAGCACCAATACGCACTCATGCAGACACCTGTGCACAAAAATTTCAAAATATGAAGCTACCTCAGATTCATCTGCTTCTCTGTAAGCTGGGCAGCTGATTCCAGTTGAACAAGGTCTAGAGATCTCAGGTCTTGAAGCTGGGTCACACCCACCTCCAGCAGGTGTACATTCAACACCTCTCACTTGTACGCCTTCGCCGCAAGATACGGAGCACTGTAATGATAAAAGAATTTAGGCTCCAGAAAAATTAAAATACATTTAGGTTTATCCGCGTAAGCCTATTTTTGGCAACAACTACTTATAAAATTAAAGAATCATTTCAACGAGAGGGTTTAAGAAATTAAATTTAAACAACTTAAGTCCCAAAATTGTACCACCTGACCTGATTTTCCTGTTGTCTTCAGCAACATTATTAAATAAAAATGAAATTGCAGATTAACAAAAATACTCGTCATCATCTCCTACATCTAATGGAGTACAAAACATAAGCGAAGTATTAATTTTAACTTGGGTACTATTTTAACCTGACACAGATAGAATCAAGTACTTCGGTAAAAACCGCTAATAGACCGCTAATTCTTGTCAATATGAACCAAATCGCCATTTTGAATCGCTAGTGTATAACTGTGAAGAACAAGCATTAGCGTAAGCGCAAGCACAAAATTTTACCTTTCACTTTTTAGCGCTTAATCTTACATCACATTAGATGTTTAAGTTGAAGTGTTCTTTTTACACATTATAAGTCAATGCTTCAGTACAATGCCACCAGTTGGTAAGTGGTGACAAAGACCTAAATGGTAAATCGCCCTAACTTAACTCACTTAACAGAAGCTTATTCTACACTCTTTTCTTGAAGATAACCAGAATTTTAATTGAACGGAAAGACACACAAGCATATTTCATTGATAGTAAGCATTTTCGATTTGTAACCTTTTTTAAATTGGCTTAATTTTGTATTTATGCAGATTAAAGGCCTGCCTTTCGCAAACTTCTAAGATATTATACCATGATTCATTAAAGTGATGGTTAACGCCACAGTAACTTTAATTTTTACTCTAGATAACAAAATAAAGGCGTAATAAGAAATTTTAATTAAAAAAATTTATACACTTGGTTTTAGTAATAAACATTAAGCTTAATATTAAACATTTTCAGCTAAGGATTAGGTATAAGTAGTATCCCTCATAAAGTTAAATGTTCGCTGGCTTCAGCACAGACGAGTATAACGCAATATTGTAACTGTCTACGACGCAAAAGTCAACAACAGTGTTGACTACGCAGTTACTACGTCGCGAGAAATGTGCGGTACGCAAATACAATATTTATATTAATATGTTTATATTATATCTAATAACGTCTACACAAATCCAACACTTTTTAACAAGTTTTTTTTAAGAATACACACAAAGTAAATTCTCACAAAGATGAATTTTACTGATACATAGTTGAGTCATGCTCATAACTGAAAAGAAGTCTAAAGGAAAATGTTTGCTATCAGTTTTCTTGTTGTTATTACTTATAAACTTATTTGAAATAACGACAATAGCTTTTTCCGATGAAATTAAAATAACGTGCAACTACATATTGCGCGAGTAACTAAATATGAAAAACGAGCCTGTGCTTTTAGATGCCTGGAAGTACCTTATACTATAATTTTTAAGAAGTCTGCAAACAATATCTTTTTTCACAGAATATTGGTGACAGCTGGACACACAGTCCAACTGTAAAACATAACAATTGGTAAGTGAATCCTGTGGCCTACAGACGTCTATATCTATCCTCAATTAAGAGAGAAAATCGTAGCCTCGTGTACAACAAAAAGGGTATCCAGTTCTCTAGACTCCCCATAAGAAAGAAAGCAGAATTAAGATGCAGTTTTGGGTCGGTATTTTTTATAGAATAAGGGTGAAAAACGAGTACATAGTCCACCTGATGGTAAATGGATGCTGTGGCCCATACACATTTACATTTATGAACAGGTAAGAATCAAAAAGCAGATGCATTGTCACCCCTGAGAACTAAGATAGAACGCCTCGTTCCCAGTAAAAAAGGGGCTCTGGATCTCAACACACACCATACACAGCAGTACTAAGTTGCTATTTTACGCTGGTATTCTGTGAGAGCATGGTCCTTCCCCGGTCGAGCCAACCCATTCGTGCTACAACCATAATGTAGCTGCAACGTGGTTCTACTACATATAAAACGGCCACGTAATTAGCTGTTTCGAAGTTTCATGTTTGGTGTCGTTGAATTGTGTAAATGTACAATGTTGACACTCTTCGAATTAAAGTCAAAGTCTTCTGTTATTTAAGGCTATAAAATTATTTTCATTGCAATTTAAAAGTCTACTGCTGGACATTGGCTTTCATCGGTTGCCTCATAGCAAAGATTTTACCATAGATGCCACGCCTTGCAAGCGGGATGGCAAACGTATTTATTATTATTTTTTGATGTTATCAGGAAGATCTTGCTGTGCATATCCTGTTTCATGTTCACTCTGTTGCCTCTTAAGACACTCAGATGATGATATGGAGTAGTGATATGTATATAGATAGTGATACTTGTGCCACCAATACAAAAAAAATAGTGGAGTTTTTTATTTTAGGTTATAAATTATTGTTACGAGCTTGAGGTACGTGACAATAAAAATTGCCAAACCAAATTAACACTAATTCTTACACAAATAAACTTAAAACACTAATATTTAATCATAAAAATACACTGATTCACTATTCCGCTTCCTCAATACTCCCCGATCCGCACCTATATAGGCTCTTCCACAAAACATCCAGAATATTCCAGAATATTCAGTAAATCCCCAACCACCACAAAATTCGAGTTTGGGGCTTCCAGAAAGCTTAGTTCTTCAATTCGATACTAGATGGCCTGTCTTAAATTAGCATTTTCTGGAAAGCTCTCTTCGCTCTGTTACCCATAGATGCCAGTGCCAGATGTCAACTTTGCCGCGCAACACTATTAACATAATGAAAACATAAAACGCAGTTTCAGATTTATACAAATATTCCCACGAGAGATGCACAATCGCACTGAAAAAGAAGAATGTAAAGGACGAGGAACGAGTTTTCCTCATAACTGAACCTGTCTTTCAAAATTTTTTTTCATAGGATAGGGTGACAAATGAGCAATAGTCCACTTAATGGTAAGTGGTTGCTGTGGCCCATAGACATCTACATCTATCCTCAATTACGAATCAAAATGCAGATGCGTTGTCACCTGTTAGGACTAAGATGGAATGCCTCGTTTCCAGTAAAAAGGGTCTCCGGTTCTCTACACTCCTTATAGGAAGCACAGCAGCATTAAGCCACTATTTTACGCTGGTATTCTGTAAGAGCGTGGTCCTTTCCCGGTCGAGCTGGCCCATTAGTGCTACAACTATAGTCTTAATATAACTGCATCATGGCTCTACCACGTATAATTAATAATTTATTGTAAACCAACCATCTGTCGTACCATTTATTTGACGTAGTGGAGCTGTATTATGGGAGTGGCACGTGGGTCTGCTATAACCGGGAAGGACTATGTTCTTACAGATTTAAGTTTATGTATTTATTCCAAAAATCAGTATCAGAAAACCAACACCAAAATACGTAAATTTGAGGCTTTAAATTTTAACGTATGCAACTAAACTGTTTTAGAAATCTGAATATAATAAAGTGAACGAAATGAATAAACTGAATTCACCAGAGTAAGAGCAAAACACCCCAAAACGAGTATATAAAATTACTCTCTGGGGTCAAATAAATGTATTTTTTTATAATCCTTAATAGTGAGGAACCCTAAAAGGCGAACATCGTAAAATTCTGTACATTCTGTATACAACTGCACATTATATATAAATTCCGAGTAATACTATTTCCTGTTACGTCCTTCACTTGTATCTACTTCGGAGCTTTTAGTGCACCTACAGATTTTATGTAAGTACTTCATATTCCTCGAAAAGTTGAATTCGAGAAAATGCCACATTTTATGTTTGAAAACATGTTAATGCTCGTATTTTCCGAGCATCTTTTGTTACTGGAGGCGGTTGACGGGGAGTATCGTTAAGATGGAAAAACGTCTGATATTATGCTAGTGGCGCCATTTTGATTCCTTGACCCTATGTTAGGAGCACTGCTTAGTTAAATATGCGTAAGTTTTATAAATATACTTTTTTCCCCATGTTGGTCTTGGTATTTATGCGCTCTACGTTTATGTGAGACTTATAACATAAAAGAATGTGCCAATTGTATAACTTGCCTAGCTGGTCGTAAAAGACGACTGCGATAATAATATTAATAATAATTTTTACTCACACTTTGTTCTTAAAGATGCTAGTAAAACAAAAATATATACTTAAAACTAATGTTGGTATTTAACTTTTGTTTTATTTTTATTTTTTTAACTTGACAAATTATACATCGTGCGTACAAATATCTTATTTATTTACATTTATTTAATTTTAGACGTAGACTCAACAAGTGCTTCATAATGGCAGAATCCTACCTATCAGCAAGTGTATTCAGGATGCTGTTGGTAGAGGTACGTAGTCGACTCAGTAATGAAGCAGACCTTTTACGTATAGTGGCATGAAAGCCATCCATGTGTGCCTCAGCGAACATGGCAAAGGCACTACAATAGCACCCTGAACGCATTATTGTATTGGAAACATTGATATGCAAGCCACCATCACTACTTCTTTAACCAAGCTTTGCTGTTATTAACGTTTAGTGTCGTATCCAATATCCACTATCCCATATCAGCCCGTGGGTATCGTGGGAGACGACATGGGGGAAACACATCAGGTGATATGCAAAAGCGGCTTAATAATAAAGACTAAAAATAAAAAAAACCTGCGGTTACCAATCCGCTTGCCAAGCGTGGCAACTATTTCAAATAATGAGGCTATCCATTGGGGATTGCTGTGTTCAGCAGTGGACTTTTAACAGGCTTTAACGGTTACGGTATTACTATTTTCATAAGCTTTTTATCTAAACCCTTATTTTTGATTAAATGTCATCGGAGTAGTTTGCTGCTATTCTCTGTCTACCGCCCAGGTAAATGGAGGCGTGACGCTATGTATGTTGAACATTTAATAACAGTGTAAGATTTTGTAATGGCTGTTTGCAAGTCGATGATTTAAAGTCGTTAGCTGAAAGTTATCAAAGTGTTATTGGTTTCAAGGAATTGAATTTTAGTTTGATTGCTAGAATAAT